AGCTGAGGACTGGATCATTGAATTAGAAGGGTAGAAATAAATCAACTAATCAGAAAAACAAAAGGAAAAAACAATTAAAAAACAGAAAGACAGCTTAAGAGAACTGTGGCACAACTGGAAACTTAATAACATTTGCATCATAGGAGTCCCCAAAGAGGAACAAAATGGGCAAGGGTTAGAGAATATATTTGAAGAAATAATGACAGAAAACTTTCCTAACTTGGTGAAGGAAGAAGGCATTCAAGTTCAAGAAGCACAGAGTGCCCCAAGTAAGAGGAACCCAAACAGACCTACACCAAGACACATAGTAATTAAAATGCCAAAAATTAAAGACAAAGAGAGAATCCTAAAGGCAGCAAAAGATAAGCAACAGGTTACCTACAAAGGAAACCCCATAAGGCTCTCAGCTGACTTATCAACAGAAACACTACAGGCCAGAAGGGAGTGGCATGAAGTAATCAAGGTCATGAAAAACAAGGTACTCAATCCAAGACTACTCTATCCAGCCAGCCTATCATTCAAAATATAAGGTCAAATAAAGAGCTTCCCAGACAAAAAAAAAAATAAGGCTAAGGGACTTTTATATATATTAATACCAAACAAACACTGCAAGATATGCTAAAAGGACTGCTGTAATTAGTAGCAGAAATAGGAAGAAAAACAGAATCACACTAAAAAAAAAGGCAATAAATAAGTTCACATCAATTATCACCTTAAATGTGAATGGTTTGAATGCTCCGATCAAAAAGACACAGAGTAGCTGACTGGATAAGAAAGCATGACTCACATATATGTTGTATAAAAGAGACCCACCTCACAACAAAAGACTCACATAGTTTGAAAGTGAAGGGATGGAAAAAAATCTTTCAAGCAAACGGAAAGCAAAACAAGCTGGGGTAGCAATACTCATATCTGATAAAGTAGATATCTAAATGAAGAATATAACTAGAGGTAAAGAGGCTACTACATAATATTGAAAGGATCTATCCAACAGGAATTTATAACCTTGGTAAACATATATGCACACAATTTAGGAGCACCAACATATATTAAAAATCTTTTGGAGGACTTCAAAGGCGAAATCAATGGGAATACAATCATAGCAGGGGACTTCAATACAACGCTGACATCACTGGATAGATCTTCTAGACAAAAAATTAACAAGGAAACACAGACTCTAAAATAAGTGCTAGAACAAATGGATTTAATAGATGTCTACAGAGAATTACACCCCAAAACTACAGAATTCACATTCTTCTCAAGTGCACATGGGACATTCTCAAAGATAGACCACACGTTAGGGCACAAACTAAGTCTCTACAAGTTCAAGAAGATTGAAATCATATCAAGCATCTTCTCAGATCACAATGGCATGAAACTAGAAATCAACTGCAACAAGATCATGCAAAGACATTTGAAAACATGGAGGCTAAATAGCATATTATTGAACAATGAACGGGTTACTGTGGAGATCAAGGAAGAAATTAAAAACCTCCTGCAAACCAATGAAAATGAACACACAACAACACAAAATCTATGGGATGCAGCAAAAGCAGTTCTGAAAGGAAAGTTCATAGCACTACAAGCCTACCTCAAGAAGCAAGAAAAATTTCTAATAGACTATTTAACCTCCCAAGTTAAAGAACTAGAAAGAAAACAAACAAACAAAAAAAACCCACAGCAAGTAGAAGGAAGGAAAGAGTAAAGATCAGAGCAGAAATAAATGACATTGTGACCAAAAAAACAATTCAGAGGATCAATAAAACAAAAAGCTGGTTTTTCAAAAAGATAAACAAGATTGATGGACCCTTAACTAGACTCACCAAGAAACAAAGAGAGAGCACCCAAATACACAAAATCAGAAATGAAAGAGGAGAAGTAACAACTGACACCACAGAAAGAAAAAGGATTGTTAACAAATATTGTGAACAATTATATGGCAACAAATTCGAAAATCTAAGCAAAATGGAAAAATTTCTAGAAACACATAGTCTCCCAAAACTGGATCAGGAAGAGATAGAAAACTTGCACAGACCAATAACAACAAAAGAAAGACTCTCCCAGCAAACAAAAACCCAGGCCCGGATGGCTTCACAGGGGAATTTTACTGAACATTCAAAAAAGAAATAATACCCATTCTACTCAATCTATATCAAAAAATTCAAGAAGGAAGACTTCCAAACTTGTTTTATGAGGCCAGCATAATTCTAATTCCAAATCCAGAAAAGGACACTACAAAGAAAGCAAGCTACAGGCCCATAACCCTGATGAACACAAATGCCAAAATCCTGAAAAAAAAATATTAGCAAATCGAATTCAGCAATACATCAAAAAAATTATTCACCCTGAGCAAGTGGGATTCATCCCAGGAATGCAAGGCTGGTACAGTATTCGCAAATCAACAAATGTGATACACCACATAAACAAAATGAATGATAAAAACCATATGATCATATCAATAGATGCTGAAAAAGCATTTGACAAAATCCAGCACCCATTTCTGATAAAAATGCTCAGAAATCTGGGAGTAGAGGGATAATATCTCGACATAATAAAGGTCATATATGAAAGACCTACAGCCAACATCATACTCAATGGGCAGAAATTAAAAGCATTTCCCTTAACAGGAACAAGACAGGATGCCCACTTTCGCCACTCTTATTTAACATAGTACTGGAAGTCTTAGCCACAGCAATTAGACAGGAAAAAAAATAAATAAAATGGGTCCAAATTGGAAAGAAGGAAGTGAAACTGTCATTATTTGCAGATGACATGATACTATACATAGAAAACCCCAGACTCCATCAAAATTTTACTAGACATAACAAATGAATTTGGCAAAGTAGCAGGGTACAAAATTAACGTCAAGAAATCGATGGCATTCTTATACACCAATGATGAACTCACAGAAATAGAAACTAAAAAAACAATACCACTTACCATCACAGCAAAAAAACTAAGACACCTACAATTAACCAAAGACATAAAGGACCTATTCGTAGAAAACTACAGGTCACTGAAAAAAGAAATAGAGGAAGATATGAAAAGTGGAAGCACATACCTTGTTCATGGATTGGAACAATTAACATCATTAAAATGTCCATACTACCCAAAGCAATCTATAGATTCAGTGCAATCCCCATCAAAATACCGACATACTTCACAGAACTAGGAAAAATACTTCAAAAGTTAATATGGAACCAAAAAAGACCTCGAATAGCCACAGCAATCTTGAAAAAGAAGAACAAAGTTGGAGGGATCACAATACCAGATTTCAGGTTATACTACAAAGCCACTGAAATCAAAACAGCCTGGTAATGGCACAAGAACAGGCATATAGACCAGTGGAACAGAAGAGAGAAGCCAGAAATGGACCCAAGGCAATATGCTCAATTAATATTTGACAAAGGTGGCAAGAGCATACAGTGGAGTAAAGACAGCCTCTTTAATAAATGGTGTTGGAAAAATTGAACAACTACATGCAAAAAAATGAAACTAGACCATCAACTTATACCCTACACAAGAATAAACTCAAAATGGATAAAAGAGACTCATGAATCCATAAAAATCCTAGAAGAAACTGTAGGCAACAAAATTTCAGACATCATACCCAGCAGAATTTTCACTGATACATCACCTAAGGCAACACAAACAAAGGGGAAAATGAACACATGGGACTACATCAAACTCAAAAGCTTCTGCACAGCAAAGGATACAATGATCAAAATGGAAAGGCAACCCACTGTATGGGAGAACATCATTGCCAATGATATATCAGATAGGGGGTTAATTTCCAATATATATAGAGTGCTCATACAACTCAACAAAAGGAAGACAAAGAACCCAATGAAAAAATGGGCAGAGGAACTAAATAGACACCTCTCCAAACAGGACGTGCAAATGGCTAAGAGACATATGAAGAAATGCTCATCATCACTAATCATCAGAGAGATGCAAATTAAAACAGCAATGTGGTATCACCTCACACCTGTCAGAATGGCTGCCATCAACAAATCATCAAACAACAAGTGTTGGTGAGGGTGTGGAGAAAAGGGGACTCTAGTACACTGCTGGTGGGAATGCAGACTGGTGCAGCCACTATGGAAAACAGTATGGTATTACCTCAAAAAATTAAAAATTGAACTGCCATTTACCCAGTGATCCCACTTCTAGGAATATACCCTAAGAAGCCTGAAATACCAGTCAGAAAGAATATATGTACCCCCATGTTCGTAGCAGCACTATTTACAATAGCTAAGATCTGGAAACAGCCCAAGTGCCCATCAGTAGATGAATGGATAAAAAAGGTGTGGTACATATACACAATGGAATACTATGCAGCTGTAAGAAAGAAAGATCTTTTATCCTTTGAGATGACATGGAGGGACCTGGAAAGTATCAATCTTAAGCAAAACAAGCCAAACAGAGTAAGACAAGTATCGTAAGATCTCACTTATTTGTGGAATATAATAAACTAAAGAAACTGATGAACAAAATTGACCCAGAGACATAGACGTGTGGTACAGACTGACAAATCTCAGAAGAGGGGGTGTTGGTGGGAAAGAGATAAACCACAGAATTTATATGCATGTATGCATGAACAATGTAGATGGACAACAAAGCTGGGGACAGGGCAGGGAGGCAGGGGGGAAACAGTGTGAAAAAAAGAAACATCTGTAACAAAAATAAATAAATTCATTAAACAATAAATAAATAAATAAAAAGAAATATTCACATTTTGTGGGCCTCCAATCCTGTTTGTTTTTTCTATATTAGAAAAAGGTAAAAGCTAAACAGAGAAAAGTGCATATATTATGGTCTGGTTTTTAAGCATAGATACATAAATGTAACATTTATACTATATACACAAACATTTAAATAATCAGCTTATATGATTTCATTTTTTTCAATATTGTAATAGTTCAAATTCTTATTTTGAAAAGCCGTATCAACAATATTATTGACAAGACACTGTTTAAACAGACAAAAATGATTCCTACCATTTTTTTCATTTGTTTGGTACATCGGGCACAGTACCACACAAGGCGAGGGTCATTCACCTCCTTGTCTGTCACTTGGGGCTTATGGCAATCTTGGTGGTAGAGATTATGGCATTCTTGACATTCTACTAATTGATTACCCGATGCCACTGTCATTTGCCTAAGAAAATACAACATTAAACATTGCATTTATTTGAGTGTATGAAACAATTTAAAGCCATTTTAGGGTTGTTCTGGGAAATTTTGATATATTAAAGATGAATAAAAATCCCAGAAAACAAAAGAGCAAAATAGCAAACCCCAACATGTAGCTTACACAAACACTTCATGTTCTTTTAAAGTTTACGTTCAACCATTAATAAATATATAAGGTATCTTAGTAACTAAATCTGGCTACATTGTCCTTGTATTTCTCTTATAATATTTTATATCTCCCAGAAGGTAGTAGACTTTGGCTAGTCCTCCAAAAGTCTCATAACATCTTCTTTGTACCTCTATTAACTTTATTTTTATTTGTTACCTACAGGTTGTTCTATCATCTTCAATAATATATGAGTTGCCTAAAGGTGGGAACTGGACCCAACCTACAGTGACTAGCACATTACTGTGCAGACAAAGGTGTTCAATAAATAAGTGTCTCATCAGCTGAATAGAATACAGCAATACAGTAATCAAAAAACTATAAATCCTGCCCTGTCTGGTGTGGCTCAGTGGTTAGAGGGTCGGCTCACAGACCAAAGGGTCTTGGGTTCGATCCCTGCCCCTGGTCAGGCGTGTGTGTGAGGCAACCAATTGATGCGTCTGTCTCACATCAATGTTTCTTTTTCTCTCTCTGTCTCTCTTCCCCCCTTCTCTCCCTCCCACTCACTCTCTCTAAAAATCAATGAAAGAAATATTGAGTGAGGATTAAAAAGAACTTTTTAAAAACACTATAAATTCCAGTAGCACAAAAAGCAATCATCACATAATAAATCTCCTGATGGAAGGTTACAATTACTAGTTCTCTTTTCCCATTATTACTTTACGATTTACTTCTTTATTTAAAATAATAACAGTCATGGTAGATAAAGGTTGCAATAAATGTATGTGAAAACAATGAAGCTCTAACAAATGATTCCATGCAGAAGTACATATAATATGGTTGGGTCTAAAACTTACAAAAGTTTATAGTAATTTACTCAAGTCCCAGTACACCAGAAGAATTTAACATTTTCATGAAGAAACTGCAAAAAAGATGGCAATCTCTTCTGCAGTGATAGGCAGTGAAAGCCATTAGCAATTAAAAATATAGCCCATGGCATCAAAAAGTTTACTATCTAGCCCTGGCTGGCTTGTGTTAGTGGTTAGAACATCGGCCCTCACACCAAAAGGTTACAGGTTCAATTCCCAGTCAAGGGCCTGTACCTAGGTTTCAGGTTCGATCCCTGGCCCCAGTCAGGGTGGGTGCAGGAAGCAACTAATCAATGTGTCTCTCACATCCAAGTTTCTCTCCCCTTCTTCCCTTCCAGTCTCTCTAAAAATCAGTGAGAAAGATATCCTCGGGGAGGATTAATAAACAAAAAAAGGTTTAAAATCTAAGTTGTTCCGGTTTTAAAAAATTTTTAATTAAATTTATTGGGGTGACTGTTAATAACATTATATAAGTTTCAGGTGTACAGCCCAGAAGTCTTTCTTCTGAGTATCTACCCAAAAAGTTTGAAAACACTTATCCATAAAGACATATATACTACTATAGACAAACATCATTATCTATGTTTTTATACCAATGTATCCAAGTTTTAAAACAACACTCAGAATAAACTACAAGACCCACTGATTTCATTCCATTATCATTAGGAAAAGATTTAAAGGTGTTTAAAGAAATTATATGTAACAGTTTACTTTATAAGTACTATCAACCATTCAGGGAAAAGAAAAAGCAACACAGACTTCTTAAAAACAACAAAGGACATAACTGAGTCTGTTGAACAGACTCTTCCTCACTAAACAGTAAAACAGTAACTGCATTCTCTCTAGAACCCAAGAATGTATAAAATATTACTATAACATAACAGATTAGAGATGCCACAGTCAGGAAAATAAAATAATGGATACTTTTCAAGATGTTAAATTGCTATACAGGCAGTTCATAGGGAAGACTCTATTTATCTCCTACCGACCTACAATAATAAAAACAAAACAAAAACACCCAATAATTGGTCTGACATTTTTTTGTTTAGTCGTTTGCTCTTTAGAAAGAAACAAAAGAATTGGTGGCAAGGTACAACTTACCTGCAAACAATACAAGCCAATCCCATCTGCATAGCAAAATCATCAGCACTGGTCTCAAAACTGGAAAGGTCAGCCATAGCTAAATCCCTGCTGGTTTGCACAGTAATGGGAGAGGACCGTGTCTCTGGTTTATCCAATCTGGGTTTCTTTGGAATATCAACTCCTTCAACAGTGTCTGATTTCATCTATAAAAAGCACACAATCAGAAGGTAGCATGTTATAATGAACTTTAAATCAGTGAGAGACAGGTAAGATGGACAGTGTCCAATGACCAAATCCACTTGACAGATATTTTCACATAGTTAGGTACAGACATACACACTAAAGATCTGTAGAAGACTTATACCAAAGGCATTCACTGTCAGTATATTAATAGAAACCCGCAAGATAGAAATAAATAAATCAGAACAATTCAGTATGTATCTGTATTTCTCTTTGTATTCCTTTATCTATTAAATAATTCTGGAAGTTCAATGAATTTACTTACACTGACTTTCCCCCAACCCCTGCCATATGCTTTGAATTGAGAAGCCATAGCATTAATAAGGCTATTTTTCACTTTAAATATTTTAAATTATGAAGTACTAAACATAAAAAAAATAAAGGATAAAAATCATAAGACTGTACCAACAGATGCAGAAAAAACATATGACAAAATCCAGCATCCATTTATAATAAAAACTCTCAGTAAATAGTAATAGAGAATACATATCTCAACAAGGCCATATATGACAAATGCACAGCTAACATCATACTCAACAGGGAAAACTAAAAGCATTTCCCTTAAGATCAAGAACAAGACAAGAATGTCCACTTTCATCACTCTTATTTAACATAGTACTCGAAGTTCTAGACACAGAAATCAGACAAGAAATAAAAGGCATCTAAATTGGAAAGAAAAATGTTAAACTGTCATTACTTGCAGATAACATGATACTTTATATAGAGAACCCTAAAGATTCCACTAAGAAACTACTAGAACTGAAAGATAAATTCAGTGAAGTAACAGGATACAAAATAAATATCCAGAAATTAATTGCATTTTTATACATTGGAAAGGGAAACTAAAAAAACAATCCCATTTATAATTGCATAAAAATAAATAAAAATAAAAACACCTAGGAATAAATTTAACCAAGGATATAAAAGCTCTGTACTCAGAAAATTATAAGGCATTGAAGAAGATACAAATAAATGGAAGCATATACTATTCTCATGCATAGGAAGAATTAACATTGTTAAAATGTCCATATTACCCAAAGGCATCTATAGATTCAATGCAATTTTTATCAAAATATCAATGGAGTATTTCACCAAACTAGAACAAATAACGAAGAAATTTATATGGAACCACAAAAGACCCCAAATAGTCTCACCAATATTGAGAAAGAAGAACAAAATTGGAGGTATCACACTATCTGATATCAAACTGTACTAGAAGGCCACCTGGCCAGTGTGGCTCAGTGGATTGAGCGCTATCCCATGGATTGACAGGTCCCAGTTCCATTCCAGATCAGGGCACATTCCTGGGTTACGGGCTCGATCCGCTTTAGGGGGTGTCCAGGAGGCAGATGATCAATGTTTCTCTCTCACGTTGATGTTTCTCTCTCTCTCCCTTCCACTCTCTGTCTAGAAAGTCAATAAAACATTTTTTTAAAATAAGCTATACTATAAGGCCATAGTAATCAAAACAGCATAGTACTGGCATAAAAGCAGACATTAGATACATGAAACAGAATGCAGAGTCCAGCAATATATCCACGTCTATGTGGTCAACTAGTATTTGACAAAAAAGGCAAACATATACAGTGGGTTAAAGACAGTCTATTTAATAAATGGTGTTGGAAAAATTGGACAGATGTGTGGAAAAAATGAAACCAGACCTCCTTCTTACACCATAGACAAGAATAAGGTCAAAACAGATTAAAGACTTAAATGTAAGACTCAAAACCATAAAAACCCTAGACAATAAAATCTCAGACATTTCTATTACTAAATATTTTTTCTAATATATCTCTTTAGGTAAGGGAAAACAAACAAAAAAATAAATAAACAAATGGGATTACATCAAACTAAAGTTTTTGCACAGCAAAGGAAACTATAAACAAAATGAAAAGACAACCCACTAAATGGGAGAATATTATTTGCCAGTGATACATCTGATGAGGGGTAAAATGCACCAAGAACCTGACACTTCTCCAAAGAGGACATAATATAGATGGCCAATAAACATATGAAAAGATGTTCAACATTACTAATCATCAGAGAGATGCAAATTAAAACCACAATAAGATATCACCTCACACCTGTCAGAATAGCTATCATCAATAAATCAACAAACAACAAGTGCTGGTGAGGTTGTGGAGAAAAGGGAACCCTTGTGCACTATTGGTAGGAATGCAGAATAGTGCAACCACTAAGAAAAACGGTATGGAAGTTCCTCAAAAAATTAAAAATGGAACTGCTTTATGACCCAGCAATTTTACTTCTTGGTATATATCCAAAGAAACCTAAAACACGAATTTGAAAGAATATATTCACCCCTATATTCATTGTAATATTATTTATAATAGCCAAACTATGGAAGAACCCCACGTGCTCATCAATAAACAAGTGGATAAAAAAGCTGTAGTACATATATATAATATACTACTTGGCCATATTAAGAAAAAAAAACCCTACAAAATCTTACCATTTGTGACAGCATGTATGGACCTAGAGGGTATTTGGCTAAATGAAATAAGTCAATCAGAGAAAGACAAATTCCACATGATTTCCCTTATATGTGGAACCTAAAGAAAAATATACAAATAAAACAGAAACAGACTCATAGATATAGAAAACAGATTCCTGATTGCCAGAGGGGACAGGCATTGGGTAAAAAAAAGTACTGGGACTGGGAAATACAGATTAGCAGTTACAAAATAGAATACAGATTAGCAGTTACAAAATAGCCTTGGGGACATAAAGTACAACATAGGAAATATAGTCAATAATATTGTACTATATATGGTTATCAGGTGGGTACTGGAAATATCAGGGGGAACACTTTATGAAGTATATGATTGTCTAACCACTACACTGTTACACCTGAAACTAACATAAATAATATTAAATATAAACTGTAATTGAAAAAATAAATATATTTAAAAGAAGTAAAAAATGCTCTACCAGTCATCAAGACTTAACACATTGCTATATTTGCTTCAAAGAAAATTCTGTCTCCTGGCTTTAAGGTATAAATGTTATAGATATATCTGTCAGATTGGCAAAAATTAAATAATGTGGTAAGACCTGGAGATTTTGGAATTCTTATAATTTATTAGTAAGAGTATAAATTTAATTTGCTTAGCAATTTTGAAGATGTACCTGTCCTATTACATCCTTTTATACAGGTATACATCCTATTGGAACTATCACCATGTGTGCAGAAATAAGTATAGAACAGCTTATTGAAGCTCCACTATAATAGAGAAAAAGAGAAATAAGCTAATTATTCGTTAATTGGGAAATGGATAAACTGGTTTATTCATGAAGTGAATATTATATAGTAGCTGTAATATTTAGATCTACATGTATCAACATAGGTAAATTTCAAAATCATATTGTTAAGTGGAGGAAAATGTAAGTTGCAAAGGATGGAGATATACACACACACATACATATATACATAGAGTACAGCATTTATATAAATTTAAAGGCACAGCAGACAATACAATATAGTTTATGAATAGCAAAAATACTTTAAAAAGTATGAAAACATATGGGACTAATATACCTCACCTTGAAAGCAGGGGTTATTAAAGATTTGTTTTAAATATACACTACTAAGCCTAAAATCTTAAAATTAACTATGTGCATAAATCATTCAAAATAAACAATCTAAGAATTATTTGTAGCCTTGTTAAGGTACATGCCATTTTGTAACAAATTTCACATTTAATCATTTATATCTTTAGTCTTTCATTTTTATTTATGCCTTTACTCTTTATTCTTTCCTCTATATCTTTCCTTGTCAACTGTTCTATCTAGAATATTTGAGCTGTAGATTAGAGTTTATACTTGAAATTAGTACATCCCCTGAGGTGCAAATATGTGTTGATAATGACTTCAGTAAATGGTTAAAAATATTTCCAAATTTTACTCATTTAGAAAAAAAATCAACATCTATAATTATTAAAATATACTTACTAAATGATTATTATGTACTTTTAAAACAATATTATTAAAAGAAGTAAGCACAAAACATGGTTTCTACCTATAAAGGACTGATTTACATTGTTGTTGTTTTATTAGATTAAAATAAAATCTTACTTTATCAGCAGGTCTCTTTTCAGCTTCCTTCTTCACCTTTTCAGTTGAGGGAACCTTCCCATTATTATTGCCAGAAGGAAGACTCGTTGATGCTTTGGGTTCTGGCTTAACAGAAATAGTTTTTGTGCTTGCAATTTTGGGTGGCTCCACATCCTAAAAGGTAAAATATAAGGATGCCCATAATTAAATATTTAGACTAACACATCATAAAGAAATAGATCATAAATCTAAACAATTTTCAAGTAAAAATTAAGACATTGTGTTGTGATCAATGTAATGTCCTTTTCTTTAAACAGCTTTATTGATAAATAATTTATATATAAACTGCACCTATTTAAAGTGTAAAACTGGATAAGTCATACCTGTGAAACCATCACCATAAGCAATATCATCAGCCTCCAAAGTTTCCTTGTGGCCCTTTGTAATCACTCCTAGAAGTATCGCCCTAGAGAAATCATGCCCTCCCATCCTCAGACCACTGATCTCCTTCCTTTAACTATGACTTAGTTTGTATTTCCTAGGAATTTATATGCTGAATAGTAGTCCATTTGGTGGATACACCACAATTTGTTTATCCATTTACCTACCAACTGATGGAAATTTGGGTTGTATAAAGTTTGGGGTTAGTACAAATAAGTTGTTATGAACATTCAAGTACAAGTCTTTTGTAGGCATATACTTTCATTTCTCTGGAATAAATGTCTTGTAGTGGAATGTATGAATCATGTGGTAGGTGTATGGTTTTAACTTTTCTTGTTGTTGTTAATCCTCACCAAGGGATATTTTTCCATTGAATTTTAGATAGAGTAAAAGGGAGGGAGGGAGAAAGAGAGAAACATCAATGTGATAGAGATACATTGATTGGTTGCCTCCTGCACAACCCGGACCAGGACCAGGAATCGAACCTGCAACCCAGATATATGCCCATGACAATGAATTGAACCCATGACCCTTTGGTCTGCAGGCCGACACTCTAACCACTCAGTCAAACCACTGAGTCTATTAACTTTTTAAGAAACTGCCAAACCATGTTCCACAGTGGTAACCATTTTACATTTCCAACATGGCTACATAAGAGTCCCAGTTTCTTCACATCCTCACCAACACTTGGTATGGCTAATCTTTTTAGGTATAGACATTCTAATAGGTATATACTAGTATATTATTGTGATTTTAATCTACATTTCCCTAATGACTTATAATGTTGAGCATTTAAAGTGCTTATTTGCCATACATATATCTTCTTTGGTAAAGTGTTAAAATTTTTGGCCCATTTTAAAAACTGGGGTTGTTTTATTATTGAATCTAAAGAGTTCTTAATTGATTCTGGATACAAGTTCTTTATCAGATACATGATTTGCAAATATTCCTTCCAGTCTGTGACTTGTCTTTCATTTTGATTTAAACTTCTAATCCTTGTTCTTACACTAAAGCTTTGCTGATATATATATGTGGTATCTTTGTTATTAACAGTATAAAACATTTATGTATATAGTAGTTCCTTAGAATCACCCCTTCCCACCAAAGGAGGGCATTGCCCTACTATTCTAAGTAAAACATCTGAATGTGGTCTAGTTTTCTATGATAATACATAAAAGTATAAAAATATAAATGGGAATGCTACTTGTCATCTTCAGAATAGTGGTGACTCTGCAGAGGAAGGGAAGAAGGAGGAATGAGAAATGGGCTTTAGACTTATTGGTAGCAAGGCTTGATTTACTTTTGGGTTGATTGTCTAGACTGGGGATTGGCAAACTAAAGCCTGTGGAATAAATTTGGCCCACTGCCTGTTTTTATAAATAAAGCTACATTAGATCACAGCAATACTCACCACACATTTATGTATTATCTATGGCTGCCTTCATGCTATCATGGCAGAATTAGATAGTTGTGACAAACACCATCTGCTCACAAAACCGAAAATATTTACTATTTGACTCTTTTTAGAAAGTTTGGTGACTACTCATGTAGATTTAAAAGAGTGATGAAGAAAATGTCAGTAATGCAGATTAAACTTAAAAGTGTACTGTGTCAGCAACATAAAAAATTGAGGATACAGTCTTGCACTCTTTGAAAACTATCATCTAATTCAGCAAAGTTGCCCAGGTCATCAATAGATGACTTAAGTTCTAACTTCATTATTTCACATCTGACTCACTCAGTGATGTAAATGAAAATATCAACCAATTTTCATGTTGGAATTATATGCAAAGAACCAGCTGTTAGTGTTTATAAGCACACCACTGCCTCCAGGTGACTCTTAGGTGTGCTAACGCTTGAAAAACTCTGGTATAAATCATTCTCACACAATTCTAGAGATGGAAATGCTCAAGTGAAGGCTAAAATGAAATGAACCTGTGCTTTTTAAATACCCCTTCCCTCACAGTATTTTCTCTGAACGACCAAGAGAAGTAACTTCCATTTAGAAACCTAAGGACCGCAAGCTTTTTAATTACAACTTTTCCTGTATTTTAATAAATAAACTTTCTTTTGTTTTAAAATCTCAAAATACTGCTTCTTTAGTAATAGGATTTTCCTATTTGGAAAACATCAATACTTAGAGCAGAATAAACTTGGTAGAGTTGTTTTAACTTTATTGGTTTGAACTCATTGAACCTACCAGGATGAGAATGGTAGAAAAATGAGGTCACAAAAGTCTTGAGAATAGTAGAGCTAATGTTAAAAGAGGGCTAGGGACAAAACACCACAGTTTACTTGGGTCCTGAGCCTGACACTTGGCCCTGTGTTGAGTTTGAGATTCTGGATTAGACTGAGCTAGTCTAGTTGTCCCCCACTTTTCAGTTTGGTATCTAGGTTCACAGACCTGGATGACTTGGAGTTTCAGGCTTCCTAAAGGTTTAGAAGGGTTTGAAAGAAAGTCTTAGAAGGCATCAGAGAATATAATAAGAAGTATCATTCACTGAGAGCTTATTGTGAACCTTGAAACTACTACACTAGGTGACTTATATAGTATATCTTTTATTTTCACAACTTTGCAAGGTAGTTCTTATTATCCCTATTTTACTAATAAGAAACAAAGGCTAATGAAATGAAGCTATTATATACCTCAGTTTCCTTACTGTAAAATTAGGGAAATAAATAATATCTATCTCAGACGACAGTTATCACAATTAAAATTAATTATATATACACACCACTCAGAAAAGTACCTGGGACACAGCAAGTGTTCAGGACATGTTATCTATTACCACACAATTAGTAAGAGGCAAGCTGGGATTTAAAACAGGTGTGTCCAGTTCCAAAATGTCGATTCTTTTCATACAATGCTGCTTGGTCACTTTGTTATTATCAGGATTGGAGCTCCTTAATTCTCACAGTTCATCCATACCTCTTTCCCCCCCTTAAATTGTCCTATACATATTCAATTCACTTCACTTCAGTGAAAATCCCGTCATTCTATTTCATGATTTTTTTTGCCCCTAAAACATTAGAAGATAATTACAAGGTACAGTTTCACTCAGCAGCTTAAAAAAACAAACAAAAAACATTTGGATCATAAACTAAAATGTAGCTCTGGTCAGTTTGGCTCAGCGGTTAGAGAGTCGGTCTTGGGACTGAAGAGTTAAGGGTTCGATTCTTGATCAAAGGTATATACCTTGATTGTGGGTTCGATCCCCAGCCCCAATCAGGGTTGTGTGGGAGGCAACCAATCAATGTGTCTCTCATATGAATGTTTCTCTCTCCCCCCAACCCTCCCACTCAATCTGAAAAAAAAAAAAAAATCAGTGAAAACTATCCTCGGGTGAGGATTAAAATTAATAATAATAAAATGTATCACAAGCAAGTTGGTTTCTATACACATAAAGTAGTAGAACAGAATATCCCTACACCCAGCTAACTTGTCTGTGTAGGATAACAGTTCCCTAAAAGCTTGAAGAAAACAAAATTAAAGACCGTAATTCATGCCACAGGAAAGATTATTTTGAGAGAGAAGTGTTTTAAGATGATCTAAATGTTAACGCTGTACTACTACAGTCCTTACAAAACTCCCTCTAACTTTTTTATTCAAGCAGGTACCTTTTGAGATGGACGGTAACTTGAATCAGTGCCCCGAGCCAAAGATTCATCAAGCAATGCTTTTAGCTTTTCAGCAGAATCCTTACTCTTTGAATGTAAGAAGCCTAGTGCTTTCAAAAAAATGGGATCAAGTTCCAAGTTCACAGCAGCAGCCATTGCAAACACCTGAAAGAAAAAAAGAGGGGGTGATATAGAGACAATGAGTAGTTTATCTATAATTCATTTTGTTTATATCAAGTAATGCTGTGCACAGAATACAAAATTTAAAATATCCAAAAGATAGAAGTAAATTTCCTTCTGAATAATGATGGGCATATCTAGTGCTTTACCCCTGAAGCAAGAGTGTTATCAGTTTTCCGTGCACCATATTCAAGTTTTAAATCCAGATAAGCTCCTCCCTGTCACAAAGACCCCCTCTCCTAACTCAATTTTAAAATATATACTTACATATATGCAAATTTTTTTTTCTGGGGAGAAAGAACATAGTAGCTCTTGTTTTTCAAAAGGTCAATGACAACACCCCTACAACACAAATAAGAACCAGTGAAGAAAATTATATCTAAATTTGTGAAAATATATACTAAGAAAAATGTTAAGGTATGACTTTCAATTTTTATGATCTACTTAGCAATAAGAGCCATTTTGTTAAAACACAATGTTGTGACTAGCTTTGTAAAAAAATTAAACCACTACTCTTTAAATTCTTTTTTGGTGTTATTAAAAAGTTTTACTGGGACTAAGTAACTAGCCTTCCTTTAGCATAAAAATGTTATCTTTCTGAAAACCCAGGAACATATTCCTGACTTGTACTTGCCATTTTCAAGCTGTTTTCATAACTTAGAGATGACTTTTTTTCTGTAATTTGGTATTGTTAATAAGACACATAAAACATCTAATACATCTAATAAAATGTACATTTAGAGTTCAGTACATATGAACTTGATGTGTTTACATAGTTTACTCTATATCAAAATGTCTTCTGAAACCTTATCTACATGAAAGGGGGAAAAAAGATTTAGTGTGGGAGTAGGGTATCACAGGAGGGCAATGGTTAGAGGATACATTACTGCAGCTTTTGCCTCAGCTATCTGTCTCCTTAGTTCTCATCCCCAATCTTAAATGCCTCAAAAAGTAAATAAACATCAAAACAAAAAACAAAAAAACCCCACATAGTAATGCTAATCTTATTGGATCACATTTAGATTGTGGTATCTCATGCCTTGCCCTATTTTTAAAAAGCAAGGTCTCTGAGGGATGGTGCCATATCTACCTAAAATATAAATACAAATATACATATGTATCTCCATCCCATAGTGCCTATGATAATGATCTGTGTCCCAAAGGAGCATCAAAGACTAATGAAATTCAAAAACATTAAAAAGTTTTGTTTTCCACTAATACCAATGCTATCGAGTGGTTCTACTTCTGGTTGTCACTTTTTCAAATATTTTTCCAGGAAAGGAATTGTTAAAATAAAATGGTATACTTTGTGTTCAATCCTTTGATCAACATTCTATGGCTAGAAATCTTCTATCCTTGAGGTTACTATTATAATAATGCAACACACTTTCACTGTTAGAGTTAAGGATCTGTCAGCAATTCCACAGTAATCTCTCATTTTCAAGGGTTTATAAAGCCATTAAAACTTGTTGTAGGTTGAATTTTAGCATATGAAAGCTCACCCTGGAAATGGATTTTATTTGTTCTTTCCCTATCTACTTCCTCCCTAAGCCCGCTCCAACTTTGACAGGAAACACACACCCTAGGCTTTTTTTTTTTTAAGTTTCCAAGAAGGTATTAGTTATCTATTTGATAGCCTTGAAATTATTGTCCAATTCTGTGCTCTACTAAAATATCTGAATCACCCAGAAGAAGAAATCCAAAGGTAAATACCAGAAGGAAAATAACCTACCTCAGTTATAGTAATAAGAATTTTTTAAAAAAATTGAGAAGCAACCTGTCATTTTTAAATACAGAAAGGTTATTTTTAAATTTATTCATGGGGCTGGTCACCATACATATTCTGAGGAGAAAACAGCCTCTCATTAAAATGTCCATGATGAAAAGGTCACATTGTCACTCTTCCTGAGTATACAAGGGAAACACAGCCTATCTTTCTTTTTTTTTTTTTTTTATCCTCACCCGAGGACATTTTTCCATTTTTTACTCAGATAGAGCGGGAAGGAGAGAGAGGAAGAGAGAGAAACATCGATGTGAAAGGGACACATCGAGTGGCCGCCACCCACACGACCCAACCAGGGCCAGGGACAAACTGCAACCGAGGTACGTGCCCTTAGCGGGAACCGAACCCGGGTCTCTCTGTACCGCAGGCCGAGGCTCCAACCGCTGAGCCAAACCGGCCAGGGCCACAGCCCAGTCTTTCTACTGACCTAACTTTTTACAGCAAAAGAGCATAGTAGTTTACTTAACCAGAACAATGTTTTATGAGATATTAAGCAAAGGGTTGATACTTAGAAGAATCCTTATAATATACTAGAAAAACCATTACTTGAAATTCTATGCTGAAAAACAGAAGCAAAGTATAACTGTTATATATTTCCATAAGCAGAGATTAAAGGTTTACATTGTGGACTAGTGGCAAGAGTCAACAACTACATTACAAGACTACAGAAGTCGTGTCATCAACACCAATATCCAACCGGAACCCTGGAGTCAGTTCTTTCTATAAGATTCTGCAATCATAAAACCGAACAGGCTTTGTACCCCTACCCTAAATTATTAACATGTCCCTCTAGCTCAGTGGTTTCCACAGTGGAAAAGGAGAAGAATATTAAAATTTAATTTTTTTATTAAAAATAAACTATGCATATAGTTATAGTAATATATGGATATAATTGATAAAGTATGTTCAATTATTTTTTTTTTTGGTACGTGCCCCTAGCGGGAACTGAACCTGGGACTTTCTGGTCCGCAGGCCGACGCTCTAACCACTGAGCAAAATCGGCCAAAGTTATGTTAAATTATTTTTACTAAATGATGAGAAAAGCCTGGAGTTGACTGCTTTAGCCTACCTAGCAAATTCCTGTTTCTCTTTCCCTATTATTCATAAATCATGATTGTTTTAAGGTACAAACTACCTTCCCCCTGCAAATCCCTCCAGTATTCTCATTCATCTCAGCCCTTCTTCCTCTCCACATTAACTTCACTGCTGGTTGGCCATCATCTACTAGACCCCGCTCATCACCAACACATATTTTTCACTTTTTTCTCAAGCACGCCTTTTATGTTTACCTTTAACATCACTAGTCATCTCTCTTACAACCTTCCTGCAAGAAGTGATCCTTTGACTTGTTCCTACTCAAAAAGCAAAGGGCTACAGAGACCTTCCTCTATATTGCTGCTTTGGGAAAAATATCCCATGACCACCATTTTTCTACATCTTCTTTTGAAATTCACACCTGCATTTTCATTGTTGCTAATGTGTACAATATTTGCACCAGGCTCATCTTCCCCACCCCCATCCCCGCCATCATCTTTGACAATTTTAGCATCTTTGCTGTTATCTTCTCCAACTTCCTCTACTCAGTTTAGATCTTCAACCTCAAGGAGCTTCATCTTCAGGCAATAAAACTTGAAACTTGCCACAACTATTCTCTTTGACTATAATCGATTCTCAGTATTTACTACAATCTTCCATTGTTCCATCTCTCCAAAGCTTTGACCCAGGAGCCTTTTCAGGGTGCTGGGTCAATCTTTCTTTCTTTCTTTTTTTTCATTTCTTTGCTCCCATTCCACCTATACTTTGAACTATAGAGGCCTCCAGTTTCTTGTTCTCCCTGTTTTCTCCTTATTGGCCCATTCTTGCCCCAACTTTTTTCAGAAAACAGTTGTTGGTCCTAAAATAAAACACTCATGGTTATTTGTTTTATCCTCTATATTGTAATTTTTTTATCTTACTTTTCCTCTCCATTTTCTACCAACTTCCCTGCTTTCTATTACTTCTCCTTTGCTACTGCAAATGTACTTGTAGTGAAAGAAATTCATTTTCCTTTTACTGAAGTCCTAAAGAGGTCAGCAACTGTGATGTGACTCTGTCAATTTACCTCCTTTATCATTTCCAAAAATATTTTCGTTTTCCTGGAGTCACACCAAACCATGTTACTTTTATACAATTCCTTTCCTGTATATTCCACAACCCATGATGAAAATGGACTGTAAAAGTTCTCACTGTAGATTAGAATTCCAGAAAACAAAGTCCTGGGAGGGAAAGATGGGGAAGTATGTATAGACAGATAGAGGGATAGATAAATGAAAGAAATTTGATGCTTTAAATGCAGGCTTAATTTAAAATCTAGGTATTGCTTTAAAAAAGGAATGTCAGAAAATTAATAATTACTACTTTAAAAAATGTCAATGACTTAACAAAGTGGTAGTAGTGGAGTTAGTGAGAGTGAATTCCTAGCTCACAGGAGGACATTCTATGGCAAATGCACATAAGTAACACAGAAATTATCATTAGTAAAAAATGATCTTTTTTCCTCCATCTCTTTTTATCCTTCTCAAATTACTTATAGTATGCCATTTTACTTCCTATGCAGCTTACATGTCATGGTTCACCTTTTATAGACTCTTTTAGTACTCCAAGCACCCGTGTCCCATAGCCCTATAGCTTCATCTACTTTACAGCCTCTCTACCTTCTTTGCCTGCAGCCAGACTCTCAGCACAGCTGAGAGGAATACACTCTGAAGCTTAGGAGTTACCAGTCTCAGCTAGGTATTAGATACAATTTAGCAATCCAATCATGCACAAGGACCAGTAGTACTCTCTCTCCATTTTCCTTGAAACTGCTTCTCTAGCTCAGTAGATGGCCTCACTTACCCAACAAGAAAACATAACCTGTCAGAGAGGAACTAAATTAACTTCCTGCCACCACATCTACACACTTACCTGCAACCATCCTTTCCTATTTCCCGGCTGATAATAAGGGTGTGGCTCTCCGTGTAATGCCACACATACCTGGATCTCTCTCTCCCTTCCCTTTCTGGAACACTGAGCTATGCATTATTTACTATCTTCTCTATCCCCACCTTCACAGTCCCCTTTCTACTGGCATCCTTTCATTGACATTTAAATATATTCAGGCCTCTTCTATCCTATCTTCCTCATTTTATAGCAAAACATCTTCTTCAAAAAGTCATCTATATTTTATAGTCTTTCTCTTTATTTCTTCTACTTACGTTGCATGTTATGCAATTTGGCCTCTGTTCCACCATTCCATGAAAATGCTCTCACCAAAGCATTCAGAGCCGAAGTCAAGTAAATATAATATTTTTTTCAGTCTTCCTTGGTTCCTCCTATTCCACTTAAACAAAAGTGAGTTCTTCAAACTCTCTTCTTGTCTCACTCTAAACCTTCTCAAAATGTATCCTCTGCATCAGCGCACAGGCTTTACCTAGGAACCTGTTAGAAATGCAAACTGTTGGTCTCCACACTGGACCCACTGAAGAAAAAATCCTGGCAGTGGGGCCCAGAAATCTGCACTTAACTTTCCAGATGTTGTGACCCACTCTGAAGTTTGAAAGTTACTGCCTTAGATAATTTGATCTATACTCTTTTGCCAGTGATTATAAATTTATCTCTCCAGTTCGTGTGTTTCTTCCAAGATTTAATTGCCAGTTTGACTTGGATAGGTCACTGGTACCTCCTACGCAATATAACTAACAGAGCCACTCATAAACTCTTTTCTGTCTCCCAACCAGTTCTTCCTCTAATACTCTCTTTCTCAAATGATACCTACCATGCTCCAGCCAGACATCTGACAATCAGCTTTACCTCCTCCCACTTCCTCAATCCCCCACCCTATTCACTCACCAAACTTCTTAAATACATCTCAAATTCATCAACCCTTATTACCACCAGCCTAGACCAAGCGACCACCACCCTAGACCAAGCGACCACCTCCATCCTTTATCAGGTCTCCCCACAACCACTCTGGTCACTCTCCAAATCTTTTCATATCACTCACTTGCATGCTTAAAATGCTCCTTAAACTTCACACTGTCCAAAAGTTAAAAAGAACAAAATTCTCAACAAGGTCTCCAATTCTCAGCATGACCTGATAGTACATGTAGAGCAGTTACAACAGTACCTGGCACAAAGTACATGCTAATTAAATGTCACCTAGTATCTCAAGCTATCCCCACTCTGTGGTATCCATTTGACTTATCTAAAATATTTAACATCTTTTTTACCTCAGCACTTTAGTAGAGTGTCCCACTCCCCATCTTATTCATCCTTCAAGTCTCAATTTCTGTACACATTCTTACTGGTCCCCAAACATCCTGTACTTATTTGTAATAGTTATTACACTGTTAATCATGTAAACGATGTTTGTCATTCTCACTAGAATGTAAATTCCATAAGGGTCAGCACTAGATTGGTCTTACCTACTGCTGTAACTGCATGTCTAGCATTGTGCCTTACAGATAACAGGTACTCAGGAAATGCTGGCCAAGTGTATGCATTATCTACTTCCTTTAAAAAAAAAATTCTCCTCCTTGACTTCTACTATATCCAGCTTTTCTGGTTTTCTTCTTTTATCTCTGATTACTCATTCTCTGGCTCATCTTATCCCTGTTGTTCTTGGTAATGCTCAAGTATCTGTAAGTGTCTGTCTTCATTAGTTCCAGTACCAATTTCTTCCTTGGTAACCTTATGTACAGAGGGCTTGGCAAAAGCAGGTTGACAGTTGTTTCCATGGAAAAAGCATACAGGTTATGATTATTACAACAGCTGTATTAACTCTGTGTTTCTTGTACTCACAACTATAAACCTACTTTTGCCTATCCCTGTATATTATGTTTTCATCTCTATCATCTCTAGACAGATGATTTCATATGTTTATCCCCACTTCAGTCTTTCTTCAGCTCAAATTTCACATTTCCAATTGCTTCCTAGACATGTCTGCCTGATTATACTAATAGTATCTCAAGTTGTTATGAGTAAAATTTAGATTATGGCTGTCTTCCCCAAAAGTTTCTTGTCCTGCAATATCTTTCAATAAATGACACAACTCTCCATTAATCAGGTCTGAGGCCTAAATCTCTCCCTCACTGAGTCCTCCCCCTACTCCTTATATACAGGCCTTTCCTGTAGACTCTGAGTCTATAACATTTCTTACATTTTCTGTTTTTCACTTCTGCTACTACTCAAATTCATATCTTTCTTAGCTATTTTTGTACTATAGCAATAATGTAGTTATTCTTCTTGACTTTAAGACTGTTGCCATATTAATGTTCCTGAAACACATCTTTCAATTAAAAACAAAAAAAAAAATCTTTTTCAAAAATGAAGGCTTCCCACTGCCTTCAAAATAAAGCCCAATTCCTTGGCTTAGCATTTAAGAAGATTCATTAACTGGCACAAAAACTTTAATTCTTCATCTTAATTTTCCATACAGCAGAGCCAGTAGTTAGCCTTGCCAATTCTCATTTTTTTCTGTCTAGGAAGCTTTTTAACCATTTTTAGATCTCCAGATCCTATCAAAACCCATTTTAAACTCTACTTCTCATGGGGACTCTACCCCAAATACTACCAATAATATGTCTTGTAGTGCTTTCTCATGGTACTGGGACTTTCTACCTTGAACCATACTCCTCTCCCCCCAGGGCCAATAAGTGTTATAGTCTCTATAAAAGTCTGAGTACTTTAAGGGGAGAGTTTACATTTAATTTTTTACTTTGCAAAGTACCACAAAACAATGGCTATAGAATTATTAAGCGATCCTATACAATTCTAATTATTTCCAAAGCCCCTTCACAAAAAAGAAACTCAAACCTATCACCCCCCCCCCAAAAAAAAACCCCCTAAATATCAATAAAGTAAAAGTGAAACCAAAACACCTTTTCATGACTGAGGACTTGTACAATGTTCCTATCTGAAATACTCTCTTCCCAATCCTCATGTGGCCTAAATTCATTAACCCCACTGAACTGTAAATTCCATGAGAGCAGGGGCTTTTTTATTCACATTACATACCTAGTGCTTGGAAAGGTACTCAAATATATTTATTGAATGAACTACTGGGTCTTTATTGAAGTAATGCCTTCTAGGGGTTCTGTGACCGCTCCAACCTAAATTGGGTGTGCACACATAAATACATGCTTTCTCCTAGATCTCGTTTCCCACCCTACACGCCAATCTTAAAAGAAGTCCATGGTTGATCATCTGCATGGACGTGACACGAAGGAAACTGAACCTCCTCGAGTGCAGTGCAACAACAGTACTTTAGGACCGCCGTCTCGTAATGGCTCTAGGAAGCTGTGTCCTTTATGTCTTTGCAAGGTGCAACCCTTTCTAACAAGCATCCTTGTAAAGATGCTGCCCTTTTCATCTTCCACTGCATTCTTGGCCCTGGGCTATATGGACACCCGAGGGACATGTCTGGGGAGGCCGAAGAACGCCGATTCCAAACAACCAAGTGACAAAGAAGCTGAGAAGCGACAGCAGACACTCGGCAGGAGTGTCCCTCCTGCGCTCACAGCCCGGCACACCAAGGCCTAGCAGGGGGGAAGACCCTCGAAGGGGAGGCTGAGAGAAGGTGACAGACACGGAAAGCGGGAGCTGGACAGAGAAGTGGCCAAAGCCTCCGGAGGAAGGTCCGGGTCGGGGTCCCCGGCTCGGCCTGGGGCCGGTCCTGCGCCCCCGCGCCTCAGCCACAGCACCCTCGCAGGCAGCCGAGCCCTCATTGAAAGAGGGAGCGGTCAGCCTGCGGCACGCGACCGCCCGCAAATTAGGTTTCCCCAGCAGAAGCGAGGAAACGAAGACCCCAGGGAACTGCTCTCCCACCTCGTCCCTCGCGGAGGTCTTGAGCCTCCCAGGGGCGGCGGGGGTCGCTCGTCACAACTCACCGCTCCGCCCCGCTACTCCGTCCTTTCCCGGTAGCCCCTTCCGAACTGGTCCCGGCACCAGCCGCCTCGGAGAGCGGGAACAAAGGTTCCCGCAGCACGGCTGAGGGGGGAACGTTTTCGCTGCGCCACGCGGGAAGTGACGTCACGCCCCGTCTTCCGGTCCGCCGGATTATGAATGACGGCCGGCTCGGCAGTTTCCGAGACACGCTGTGTGTTATTGATCCCGCGTTCTTTCTGGCCGCGAGTGGTCCGCTGGCGAAGACTCCGGAAGCGGCCTCGGAATCTCGGCTCGGGCGGGCGGGAAGGCGCAGGCGGCCCGTGTCGCCGACTCGTCCTCGTACCCTCCCTGCCTGGCCGCTCCTCTGCGACCAGGTAAAGAGGGCGCTCGGGCCGCCGGCTCCGCAGTCCCCGCCAACCCCAGTGCCTGCTCTGCTTCGGGGGCGACAGGGCCGACCACGCGCGGGAAGGGCCAGGGCTTGGCATTCGTGTTCCGGATCTCTCTGGCCTCTCATTGCCCGCAGCTTCTGGGGGTGCGGTGGGGGGGCCCAGGCTACCTCTGCTGGTGCGGGGTATGGAGCAGCTCCTAGTTGGAGGAGTCAGTGAGGTCGTTTGCAGTTGGCTGCTAAGTATACTTTTAAGACCTCTTTCATCACGCTTTGACTGTTTTTTCCTCCTTTGGCACTAAGTTTTCTACCCCAGCCCTTCCTGATTGGAGAAAGCAGTTCTTTGGGCATACTGCTTACCACTTGCTCCAAAGGACTTGTTTCATTTGGGGACATTTGCTTCTGCACACCAGTGTTTCACTTCCATTTTAATCTTCTGTAGAAAGTTTGGGTTTAACTTGCCTGAAAGTTGCTTTGGCTTAAAAACGTCTACTAATACAGGTACTTCCCATCCCCAACTCTAGCTGGTTTTGGGCCTAGACCACTTGTTTGTTCCCTTTTATGCTTCAGGCCAGGATCCCTAATGCCACCATCCCACTCCTGTCGTATGTTCTTGAATGTCAAGGAAATGTCAGCATTTCATAATATATCTTGTGCCAAATTATTGATAACGAAGGTAGAATACTTCTACTTTTCTTAACTTTATCTATAGAAAGTGTTCAAAGGAGAAGAATGCAAAATCTGGCAAGAACTAATGATGTGACAGTTTTAAACATGTAAACATGATCATTTAAATATTGTAAAAATAAATTATCTGTTATAAATACAACCGAGTGGTTTGCTGTCATATTTAATAAAACATTAAGCTATGTGAGTTGTTTTTTTTTATAAACTGCCTGGTGGAGAATATACACTATTCAGGATTGCCTTAAGAATGCTCATTATTTGAAATTGTGCTTGAGTTATACCTGAAGGCATTTTAGTAGGTCTCACTTCAAAAATAGGTTTGTGAAAAAATCAGTGAGATTTGAGAATACACTTGTTTGCCTGCTTTAAACAAAGCTCAAACTTCTGTAGTAGTGGGCCTATCAGGTTTTTTACTTTTATTTTTAAACCTGTGTTTATCTTTATAGCTTCTATATGACCAGTGATTTGAAATATGAATAAATACTGAGTATCCAGTTGGCTTTTCTAACAGCAACAATTTAGCAGAACTTGAAACTCACAAATTCTGAGACTAGTCAACAAAAACATCTGTAGTATACACAGTTCTCCAGTACATGTTTTTATCTTCAAGTATTCAAGGTAGCCTCCTGAATTCTGTTATGATTAGTATTTAAAATGCAAAGATTGAAACCATTTAGATCATAACAAGCACAGGTATTGTTTCCTGTAGAGACTTAGTAATTTTATTTCATGCTTGCTGATGTTTCTAACATGTTAGCATTTCGTGCTGTGAATCCCTATTAATTATGAGGCCAGGCTTAGCTAGAGGCATTACTATTCTCTGGCAACAGATGATTCCCTGATTCTCCAGAGAGACTATGACACACTTCCCTTATGGCTGAGGTTACAGTAAAGTTTTTTATTTGTAAACTCCCCCCCCCCCCCACTTCTTGCCCAGATAAGAAAACAGCTTATTTTAATTATAGGATTTTGTTTTCTAGGACTTAACTATGTGCATTCCCACATTACAAAATATAATGAGCACTGAAATAGCTGTTTTTTTGTTTTTTTCTTTTGTTAGCCTTTAATTAGCTGCTAACTAACTCTGTAGGGGCAAATTGTCTTGTTTGCTTTTTAAAATCTGTATTACTTTAAGAAAATAGGGTGAACTTTGCAACCAAATGGTGTTATTTCGTGAAATATATAAAACATTCATAATGTTGAGCATTTGCTGTAGCAAGGAATTTAAATTTGTTTTAATTTCTAAGAAAAGTAAGTTTGTAATTTTTTCATAATTGTAAACTCTTGATGAGCTATTTATTTTGTACAGCATTAGCAGTTAATATACATGTGAACTTAGGGTATCACATTTATAGTCTACCATTTTGTGACTTCTTGGTTTTCAGCCTCATTAACAAAGAGAGTTTTTGAATATTTGGGAGAATACCTTTTCAATTCAACATGAACTTCTTACCTTTCCTGAGAAGAAGTTTGGAAATAGAAAGCATAACTTGGGGCTTGCCCATGAAAATTTGTGTATTTTAGTAGTGTCAATGGATAAGGAATTTTGGAATAAATTATAAAAGAATAATAATAGCTAATATTTGTAATATTAGCTCACTACTGTAATGAGCATTGTTCTGTTTTCACAACACACTACACGATAAGTGCTGTTATTATTGTCCCCACTTTATAAGTGAGGAAACTAAGTCTCAGAAAAGTTTTATATTGCTTCAAGATGTCAAGACCAGGATTTAAACCTGGTTAATCAACTCCAGCGTCTAGACTCTTATCCATTACTTGATAAATATTGGTGTATAAATATTCTACTTGCTAAGTCAGTATATATAATCTAGTTAGATTTCTAGTTCTTGTCTGAAAATCTACGTACATAAAAGCTTTTATGCTTTCTTTTATTTATTTATGTTTTAATCCTCACCTGAGGATATGTTTTTATTGATTTTAGAGAGGGAGAGAGAAAAAAACAATGATGTGAAAGAAACATCGATCAGTTGACTCCCAGAGGAGTCCCAACCTGGGATCAGACCCGCAACCTGGGTATGTGCCCTGACCAGGAATTGAACCTGCGACCCTTCAGTGCAGGGGATGGCTCTAACCAACTGAGCCACATTGGCCAGGGCTGTGCTTTATATGTTTGGGTGGATTCTAGTTATTCTTTTATCCAGTTCTGCTCAGAGGTAATCTTGTTTCTTCATTTTAATTTCTACATAGGAGGCTCTTAAAATAGATATATTGATTTGGAAGAGAAAGAATTGTGTCAAGAATAGGGTTCATATTGTACAAAGAAAGACCAACATTCTCAATAGTACTCTCATTACAGTGATTACTAATATTCAGTCATTCATTCTTTGAACTAAATTTTGAGTACTGTTAATTTAAGCATTGGTGATGTAATAGCTTTTACTGTGAAGTAAAAGCAAACAAGATAAGGGACTAGTGAGTGACGGGAATGTTTTTTCAATGCAGGTTGTCAGGGGAGGCTGCTCTGAGTTAATATGCAGAGACCACAATGGAATGAAGGAGCAAATTATGTGAGTATCTTGAAGAAGAGCATTCTAGGCAGAGGGAACAACAGGTATAAAAATTCTCAAATGTGAGCATTCCTGGAATCTTCCAAGAACAGCAAGGGGAACTAGCTGGAGAGGAATGAACAAGAGGGCAGAGGATTAGGAGATGAGATCAGAAAAGAAAGATAGCTGGGGTCACATTAGGCCCTATATAGACCATGTTAGTAAATTTAGATTTTATTCTAAGTGTACTGGGGAGCTATTGGATGGTTGTGAGCAGGGGACATGATCAAATTTGTTTTTCGAATGATCTACCTGACTATTGTTGGAGCATTGACTATTGTGTGGAGAGTGGAGGAAATAGTTACTAGTCTTTTGCAGAGGTCTTTGTAAGAGCTGATGATGACTTTGACTAAGGTGATAGTAGTAGAAGTGCTAAGAAATTGGACTTAGCGTATACTTCAAAGGTAGAAATAGAAAGTTATGAGAGGGGATAAAAGGAATTGAGTTATGGGCCTGAGCATCTGGGTGAATGGTATTACCATTTTACCAAGAAGGAGACTAGACTACTAAGGGAAGAGAAACTGGTTTTAGAAAGTGTCCAAGTTGAGATGTCAAGTAGGATACAGGAGTATGAAGTTCAGGGGAAAGGGTATAGATGAGAAATATAGGAGTCATAGATGATATTTAAACCTCTGGCATAGGAGATCACCTGGAACAGGACTGTTATATTGTGAATTGTTGGCTCATAAATGAGTCTTGAAATCAATTTGCTGAGTACTACCCAGCACTAAAAAACAGGAAGAAGAAGCACAGTAAAAACTATCAGCACATAAGATATTTCTTCATAATTCTTTTGCTTCAGTTTTATTCAGTGTATAATGAGTTGCATTATAACATATATTTCTTATTGTGTGACATGATTAAAAGTTTGAAAGCCAGCCTGGCTGGTGTGGCTCAGTGGTTGAGCATCAACCCATGCACCAGGAGGTCGCAGGTTCGAACCCTGGTCAGGGAACATGTCCAGGTTGTGGGCCCGATCCCCAGTGGGGGGGCATGCAGGAGGCGGCCAATCGATGTTCTCGCTCATCGGTGTTTCTATCTCCCTTTCCCTTCCTCTCTCACTAAAACTAACAACAACAAAAAATTATTAAAAAAGAAAAGAAAAAGGTTGAAGCCAGTACTCAAGGGAGTGAATGTAGACTGAGAATTGGCAAAGCATTGATTGAGCCAAGGGTCCCTAGGAGGTCTGAAGAGGATCCAATAAAGAGAATCAGTAAGAAACTTTCAAAGCACTTAACCCAGTGCTAAGAATGGTCAAATAAACCTGCCTTTATAACAGAGCTTCCCCTAGCCCCCCAAAAGGATTGCTTAGAATAACTTAATTTCAAAGGATTTTTACTTTGGTAAAATTGTTGTGTATGTTATATGCCATTGAGTCACTTCCAACTCCTGGCAACTCTATAAATGCGTGACATACAAGTGTCCTGTCCTAAACAACCCAGTCAATACCCATAGACTCATGCCTGAGACTTCTTGTATGGAGTCAATCCATCTCATATTTGGTCTTCCTCTTTCCTTGCTGCCTTCTATTTTTCCCACCATTAGACTACCAAGGGAAAAGGAAGAGGTTTAGAAAAATGTCCAAGTTGAGATGTCAAGTAGATACAGGAGTCTGAAGTTCAGGGGAAAGAATCCTGCCTCATGATGTCCCCAAGTAGGACAGTTTTAGTTTTGTCATTTTTATCTCCAGTGATATTTCAGTCTTAATGTGCTCTAGAACCCACTTTTTCATCTTCCTTGCACTTCAGAGTATCCATAGAGGTCTTCTCCAACACCATATTTCAAATGAACCACCCCCCTTTTTTTCCTTTCCTATTTGCCTTCTTCACTGCCCAACTCTCACATCCTTACATAGTAATTGGGAATCGAGGGAGTGGATGATCTTAGCCTTGGTCTCTAAAGACACATCTTTGCTCTTGGTGATCTTTCATTATCCCATTGTTGCAATTCCAAATCCCTGCCTTCTCTTGATTTCTTGGCTGCAGTCTTCATTTGAATTGTTGATTGAACCAGGTAAGTAAAATCTACAACAATTTCAGTTTTAATTTTCTTTGTTAAAGTGGTGTATTTATTCTGGAGTCATGATTTTTGTCTTCCTGATGTTCAAGTGCAGTCAGTCCTGCTTTGTCACTTCTTTCACATTCATCGGAAGCTGGTTCAATCATTGCTGCTTTCTGATATTTCTTCCACCAGTGTTCACTCCTCCTTCCTTTGAGTCTAGCCCAGTTTTTCCTATATGTTCTGTGTGGAGATTAAACAGAGAGATAGAATGCACCCTTTTCTGACACTGTTGCCTATAGGAAACTGAAATTACTGCCGCAATCAAATTTCAGTGTGCTTCAATTTAGGAAAGTCTCAGTTTATAAAATAGTGCTATTTATATTAGAAAAATACCAATTCCTGAATGTTTTCAAATAAGATGGCTTTATAGATCCAGTTAATTCTTTTGGATTGATATATAGTTCTCATTCATGTAATGGAAGTAAAATGTGCTTTTAAGGATTGTGAAGATCAGAAGTAATATCTAAAAGTTCGTTGTGCTTGGCACATAGTGGGTGGAAAATAAAATGTACACAGTATTATTTAGGATTGTTTTCTTTGTTTATTCATTTAACATACTAAGCTATCAAATTTCAGGAACAGTGATATTTTCTTATTTGAAAACAAATCAACTGGTCAATATTTTGTTGCATTATGCACTTTTGTTCTTTATTATATAATATATAACTTACCTATTATGTAATATTTAGTTGCCATAGATCCAGACTTGAATTTTGAGCATAAAACTTTAAAACTTTTTTTTGGCTTCTGGAGAAATATGCTTATTTTCATATGTTCATTGTATCTCTCTCTCTGTTAGATAAGAAAACACCTATAAAACTCATTTCACTTTTCATATGTGAAATCTTTCAATTTATCAACACCAAGATATATTAATGAAAATGAGAATGCCTAAAATATTAAAACTATGACCACTTTAGTTGTTCAAACTATCTTTGAAGTTTCTCGAATAATGAAACCAAGGCTTACGTATATTCTTTTTACTTATTTATTCCCTCTGCAACATTCCCAAGCAAACTGGAAGAGATGCATACTCCATCAGCTCTGTTCAGCTCCCAAAGTTTGTGGGTTAGTGTGGTGCATTCTCACTTCATTTCAGGAGTAGTTGCAGGGTGGTCTGTGTCAAAGCTGAGAAAGAGCAAGTGACACTTCTATGCTTGGCAGGGATATAATATGGAGTAACAGTAGCTGTGTCCCAGAAGCTCTGGAGACCCAGGAGATGATTCTACAGGACCTACCTAGCTCTGAAGCTCATCACATAGAATTAATGAACAAAGGAATTCTCCAGGTAGAAATGGAAAAGAAAAAGAGGAGTTTCTTTGCCTGTGATATTTAAAAACTTTAAGCAAAAACTGTGTTCTACCCTGTTGAAAAATTAAAGAGGCATTACATGCCAAAACCATAAAATTTATACAAGTTTGCTAATACTTTAGGAATTACATTAAGACTTTATGAGGAGAAATTGCCCAGGGAGAGTAATTTTTTTTTTAACTCCAAGATCATTAAGTAACATTTTTAATCTCCTAGAAAAAAAAGGTCAACATCTATACTGGAAAAAATAAATTTTGTTAAGAATCAATAGTACTTTGCATTTTCTCTCAGGCATCTCATTAATTTTTAGATATCTCTATGGGCAGATTATTCCTATTCTATCTCATTGACATTTAGCATTTATAAGTGCTTACAGAGAGAATAGTTTACATAATATGTAAAATCCTATTCTCAAGGTTCTTATGTGCCTTAGAATGTGACAAATATACATGAACCTTAATTTTTAAAAAAAATTTGTACATTTCCTAAATCAAGCTGTAACATAGCATGACACTGTCTTCAGATTTTTGTTTTATTTTGTTTTAAGCATTAGGACCAGTCCCATAATTATTGTTTTCTAGATTGCTGTGCAAATGCAATTGATCATGTTTCATTTCAAGTCTGGTTCTTGAAGCACTTAGGGATCTTCTTGATAGTATCCCACTGTCAGAAGAGTTAAGAGGATTGGTAAATTGGTCAGTAATAGATTTGTAGGGGCAAACTTTTCAAAGAGACTGTCAATTTTCTAGAAAATATTGGTTTCTGTTGCCTGTGGGCTTTTATATATATATTTAAATCAGCTGTAGTTTAAGAAAAGATAATTACTGGGTCAAATGGCAGTTCAATTTTTAACTTTTTGAGGTAACACCATATTGTTTTCCATAGTGGCTGCACCAGTCTGCATTCCCACCAGCAGTGTACTAGAGTCCCCTTTTCTCCACACCCTCGCCAACGCTTGTTTGATGATTTGTTGATGGCGGCCATTCTGACAGGTGTGAGGTGATACCTCATTGTTGTTTTAATTTGCACCTCTCTGATGCTTAGTGATGTTGAGCATTTCTTCATATGTCTCTTAGCCATTTGTATGTCCTGTTTGGAGAGGTGTCTATTTAGTTCCTCTGCCCATTTTTTAATTGGGTTCTTTGTCTTCCTTTTGTTGAGCTGTATGAGCATTCTAGGAATATCCCTAAGAAGCCTGAAACACCAATCAGAAAGAACACATATACCCCCATGTTCATAGAAGCATTATTTACAATAGCTAAGATCTGGAAACAGCCCAAGTGTCCACCAGTAGACGAATGGATAAAAAAGCTGTGGTACATATACACAATGGAGTACTATGCAGCTGTAAGAAAGAAAGATCTCTTATCCTTTGAGACGACATGGGGGGACCTGAAGAGTGTTATCCTAAGCGAAACAAGCCAAGCAGAGAAGGACAAATATCATGTGATCTCACTTATTTGTGGAGTATAATGAACATAATAGTCTGAGGAACGGGGTAGTCCCAGAGATGTGGAAGTGGGGTACAGACTGACAATCCCCAGCGGAGGGGGTGGTGGGGAGAGATAAACCACAGAATTTACATGCATGTATGCATGAACAATGGACATGGACAACAAAGCCGGGGACAGGGCGGGGAGGGAGGGGTAGGAGGGTATCAGTGGGAGAAAAAGGAGAAACATCTGTAACAAAAATAATTAATTTAAAAAAATAAAGTTTGGAAGCAATGGGAAAGGAACAATATTAAAATAAATCTTATTACAAAAAAAAAGAAGAAAGAAAGAGAAAGAGAAAAAGAAAGAAAAGACAATTAAGCTTAGGGAAGAATGGTTTCCATGGGTTAAAAATTGTTGCTTTTTGCCCTGGCCAGTTTACCTCAGTGGTTGGAGCGTCCGCTTGCGGACCAGAGAGTCCTGGGTTCAGTTCCCGCTAGGGACACGTACCAGTAAATAAATAAATAAAATAAAAGTTGTTGCTTTTAAATTACATGAAATACTTTTCTTCTAGATAATCTTTTAAAGAAGTAACAAACCATGGTGCATATGTGTTGTTTTAATAAAAGAAACATAAAACAGTAGTGATTACTTGCATTATCAAGTTTTTCTAAGCTAGTATCTTACTAACTATATACCTTTGTCATAGTGGATTATTATCTCTTTAATAAAAAGGTTGAGAACCAAAAAACTTAAGAGTATTTGACTATTTTGCTCTTGCTTAAAAAAAAAAAAATTAAGGAATTTAGAACATTAAAGGAAATTTTGTATGTTGAAAGTTTCTTAAAATTTAGGGTACACTAATATTTCAAATAGACTTAAAAGAAAGAGTTGCATGTATACTTTTAAAAGACTTTTACATTAATTTCCCTCTAATAATACCATCTTCCTACTAGTACATGCTTCCATGGGGAATGCTTTTAAAGAGTGCCATCTAGTGTCAATTTTTGAATTGTGATTTATGGATAAGAACATGTGGAATTTTAGACACAGGAAAGGTATGAATCAAACCAAAGTTATATATTGATGAGTTGAAAATACCATCAATAATTAGACCTCAAAATTGTGTGTTTGTATCTTTAAAATAATGAATGTGTATACTCACTCATGCATTCATTCAACAAATACTTCTTGATTTCATATATATAGCAAGCCCATTTTAAGCAGCAGTGAACAAAACAAAATTTCTAGTTATGGAACATTTTAGTTTGGGTAGACAAAATAAATATAAAGCATGTTCCAACAGTGATAAGAGCTATGAAGAAAAGCTTAGAAGATGAAAGGTGTTTGTTTTTTTTTCCAGGGAAAAAAATATAGTAGCCAGGAAAGATCTCGGAAGTTCACATTTGAGTAAGTGCCTGAAGGAGATGAAGTGTTCCAGGCACTGGGAACATCAAGTGAAAAGGCCCTGAGGTGGGAATGTACCTAGTATTTTAGAGGAATAACAAGGCACTTTGGCTGGAGCAGTGAGCAATGGGTAGAGTTGAAATGAACTTGGAGACATAAAAAGAGGATTAGATCAAAGAGATCTTTGTAAGCCATTGTAGAAATTTTGTCTTTTCCCTGAGTAGGATGGAAAGCTATTGGAGAGTTTGTGCAGAGTAGTGACATAATCTTACTTTGTTTTTAACAGGATCACTTTGGCCACTATGTTGGGAACAGACTAGAGGCGGAGGTAGGATGGGAAGCAATGTTAGGAGGCAACACTGTCATTCAGAAGAAGAGAGGAGGTGGTGCCTTGGATTGCAGTGGAAGCAATGAAGGTGGTTTGAAATGGTTAGATTATATATCTATGTTGTAGGTAGAGCCAAAATAACTTTTAATAGACTGGTTATAGAGGTGTGAAAGAAAAGAGAATTGACAATGACTCCCAGGTTTTTGGCCTGAACAGCTAGAAGAATGGTGTTCTACTACCTGAGACAGGAAAGATACATGAGGGCCAGATTTGGGGATGGGGGAAATAAGGGACTTGATATTGGAGCTATCGCAGTTATCAACATGTACGTTATGGGGAAGTTCAATTGTTTTTCTCTTGTGATACAGCATGCAATAGCTCATCACATATCTAAACCCACTTACTTTAGGAGAATCCATTTCTCATAAGGAAGTAAATATATCCTCCCCCCCACCCCACCCCCACCACCACTGATTATTATGTTGTAGGGTCATAAATCAGAAACAGTGTGGGAGGACCAGCACTGTCAAAGCTTCAAAAGGTAATTATCCCCAGACAACTCTCAGTATTCTTGGTGATTTCTTATTTTCCATTCTATTCATTTCTTGTTCCTACCCATAGTGAGACCTCAAAGTACTTGATGGGGAGGACTCTACTGCAAAGCACCTGAGTTTGCTAATTTTAAAAGAGCAGGGTATAAAATCACCCCTAAGACTAGTTGATTGCACAGGGTGGACATCTTTGTTTTGGAAGCCATTTATTCAGTCCAGGAACAAAATCATCTAGAATCTTATCTATCACACATCCTTGCTGAGTTTTAGAACGTGCTTTTAAAATATTCATCTTTTAGCTTCTAGATTATGATATTCTAAGGCCTATAACTACTTCAATTTATGCTTCAGGTGATTCAATGAGAGAAGAAAATGAAAGGTATTATTAAGAAAAGTCTCACGGAAGAATATCTATACCTGGACTTTTCTCACCAAACGGAAGGATGCATTTTTCCACTTCATACATCTGTAGCTTTATTTTTGTTATCATACTGTGACTGCAAAATCTTTAAAGTTTGCTTAGTCCTCACTGGAGAAAATACCGATGTTTCACTACTGAAGAATGTACTGTCACAGGACGGGGAAGTACAGATTATTCCAAGGCAGGAGCTTCCACCGATAGTCCAGAACTGCCGTTTACCTGCCGCAGTAGAGAGACCGGACAATTTCTGTAGAGCAGGTCTTGCTGTTGTCCTGAGACACATGATCCAGAAAACATATGAAGCAGACCCCTCAAGGAAGGAAATTCTGGAGCTTCTGGGTTTTAAAAAGACTTGTTTGAAAGCCTGTGCTGAAGTAAGTATGTCTCTTTTTTGTTATTTAAAGCCACATAGTGATGACACATTCACTTAAACATTTATTTTAATTTCCAGCTGAAAACTAGAATTTCATTTCCTTAAAAAATCCTACAGTGACCGATGAAATAAAGTAGCCCATCACATATGCCAATATTTCAGTGCAATATTGAAAAATAAAAATTTAAGATTTAATTTATGTGGTTTGGAGATATTATTTTACAGAATGACTTCTTTTTTTATCTTTTAATTACATGGGGGTTGTTTTTTTTTTAGTTTTTTTTCCTTTATTGATTTTAGATAGAGAGGAAGTGAGAGGGAGAGAGAGATAGAAACATCTATGAGAGAGAACATCAATTGGCCACCTCCTGCATGCCACCCACTGGGAATTTAGCCCGAAACCTGGGCATGTGTCCTGACTGGGATTCGAACTGGCGACCTCTTGATGCATGGGTTGATCCTCAACCACTGAGCCACACCAGCCTGACACTGGGGTTGTTTTAAGGGAACTTTTAGATATGAACAGGAACCTTTGGGTGAGTGTGTGTGTGTGTGTGTGTGTGTGTGTCTCAGGGGCTGGAGGGGGGGACGGTGAGTGCTTTGTAGGCTTTGGGAAGTAAGGATTTATTCAGTAAAAGGATATTGGTGGATACTATGTATTTCAAATACACGGTTAATAAACCTCCATTGTTTGAATTTATCACTTCTGAAGCACTGTAAATATGTCTTGATATAGCATAGTAGCCTAGCCCAGGGATGGTTTAGGTAAAGACAAATTCTTAAAACCAGTCTCCTTTTCCCAACAGGAAGTTCTTTTTCTTCAAGCTATGTTGAAGTAAGGAGTTATTTCATGTCTTGTTTTGTGTTGTAGGTTAGTCAGTGGACCAGGCTATGTGAACTCACCATCCCTTTAGCTATTGAGAATTTTCTCAGCAAACCTTCCGGCCAGCGCCCACCCATCCCTGCAGAAATACTGCAGCTAGAGAAAAAGTTCGGTGAGCCTGTCAGAGTGCACAACGATGACAAACTCCGGCGACAGAAGCTAAAGCAACAGAAGGCTGCCAGAGCGGGGCCTTCCCTCGCCAAGGACAAACCAAACGGCAGGGTACATGGACAGGAAACGCCTGACGAGTTGGACCCTTGGGCCGAGAGCCTGGAACTGACGGTGGCATTCTCAAAGCTCAGGGCGCAGGAAGAGCCAGCGACTGCCAACAGGGAACCGGCTCGCATCAGAAAAGCAAAGGCCTCTGACCTTCCACCTCTAGAGCATGTGTTTGCAGAAGGTCTTTATTTCACCTTGACAGACATCGTGCTCTTGCCCTGCATCCATCATTTTTTGGTAAGGTTCATCTGGAGTGGATACATTATTATAAGTTTCAGTGTGTAAAATTGCTTAGGTTTGAATCCCAATTCCACTTCTTACTATCGTTATGCTCCTGAGCAAGTATTAATAGCTGTCTCTACTTTCTTATCTGTAGAATAGGGATAATAGTGGTACCTATCTAATAGGACCCGTGTGAGGAATAAATGATAACGTGTAAATTATGAACAACAGTGTTTGGCACATAGTAAGCTTTCAAATGTTAGTAATTATTATAACTTTTAATTTTGAGTTGCTAAAATGTTATCAATTGTTATAATAATTTCAAATTACTAGTGTGATTACCTTCTAATATTAGAGGGTCCACCTTTAAGCACTAAAAAATCTTGTCCGCTCTATTTTATAATTAAGTAGTTACTTCAAATACTAGTTTAATTATGTTAGGTGTTATCAAGTCAGAATGCCTCTCTGTTGTCCATAAGATTACATGGAAAGTTTTCTTTCCTAGCAGAGTGATGGAGATATGTACATTCCCCCATCTCCCACCCCCTCCTTGTATGGAGGCAAAAAGAAAGAGGTGAAAAGAACACAAGAGTGAGCATGGGAAGCTATAGCTCTCTGCAGCTTTCCAGCTGGCTTCAAGAGCTGTGTTTTCCTGCTTTGAAGTATTTCACCTTTTTCCCTACTAAGGACTCAAGGACCAGATTTTATCCTCATTATATATTACCCACAGTTCAGATATCTCTACTGACAGATAAGAAATGACTTTTAGGAAAATCTATGTATTTGAAGGCCGGAGCTTCACTGAGTTAGGCGGTATTAATCAATTGGTATTTTCTTAAAGAACCTTTTTCTTTTCTTCGAAATGGAAATAAAACAAGATTGGAAACCAAAAGAACCTCAGAATTAAAGGACAGTAAAAGATTCAGGAATTTCTTAGTTGTTGATTAGTATTTCAAATGTCACATGTATTCATATTGTCCATCAAGCTGGGTGGGGGAAAAAAATCTCTGTTTTTGTTTCTTGTCAATCTAAATTCTCTTATGACTCATTTCTCTTCTCTCTTATCAACTTCAGTCATTAGGAAGTCATTTGATACGTGTCATGAAATACTGTTGATGGTCTTCTTGAAAACTATACTTATTTCTAATGTTATAAGAATTGAACCAACATGGCTCATCCATGAAGTCATTCATTCATTTGAGAAATGTGTTGAAAGCGTACTGTATATGCCAGGCACTGTGTGGGCACCAGGGATACATTGATGAGCAAGTCGGATAAGGTCCAGCCCTCATGGAGTTAATAGTCTAGTAGGATGAGATAGAAATGAACAAGTAAACAAAGAAATAATATATATTTAAATAATGTAATTTCTACAAAGAAAATAAAACCAGGTAATAGAGAAGATGAGTATTTGCGTGCAAACTCAACAAAACATTAAAAACTGGATTCACCTGCATGAAAGTAATTTTAGGTCTTTATCCAGACATCCATTTTCAGCCAGTTTGCTTTTGATTTTAGCTTAATTTAAATATTATTTACCTGATTAGGGTCAATTGAGGTTGAAGTATTCCCTACTGAGAGGGTTTCTTCCTCCTCTGTAATCAGGCAGTACATCTACTGACTACTACTGATACAGTCTACTTAATACTACAAAGGGGAATTTGTTTTCATCCCAATTTTAAATAGTGGAAAACTTGGACACTCAGCCGTTTGTATTACATGTATTCTATGATTAAATTCTTCTCCTGGCATTTATATGTAAACTAATTCTCAAAATATTTTCTTTAGTTTGTTTGTATTTTTCCTGGACCTGGACTTTTTCTTTCAGGAATTAATCTTTCTTTGCCAAAGCCTTGATGTTATTTCTGCTATATTTATTTTCCTCTTTTAAGTCATCTTGGGTTATGAAGCAGTCCTTTTTGTTCAGGCAATGTGTGTGATGCTGAGCCTATATGCTTGCATTAGCACCCACTGGAGTGACGGAGCAGCAGTGCTAATAGTCAGGATCAAGTTCCTGGTTAGGAATCAAGGTCGTTACCAGGTGTGGATCAGAAACAGAGCTGAGCCTTAAGCCAGGATATTGAGTCGCAGGAATAAGGCCAAGAATATAGAAGAGCAATCAGTTTTTCACCCTGCTTATCACGCTGCTCACCTAAACATATGTTACTTATGACATGTTTTTTTGTTTGTTTGTTTTGTTTTTGTTTTATTATTTTATTTTATTTTTAATTTTATTTTTGTTACAGATGTTTCATGTTTTGAAAGCGTAGACAGGACTAGGAAAATTATATGAAATAACTACAAAGTGTTTTATATAATAAGTGATTGGAAAGTAATGCAGAGGAGGAGATACTTTGGATAGATGTAACATCTTGAGTCTCTTTTTATTCAAACAAGTTTTTCTGCCCCTATTACAAAGCCACTAGGGTTTCATTTTGTGCTCTTGGTAGTATAATTTTTACTATTGTTTTAAGAATAAATTATCTTGTTTTCTTGTCCTTCAGTAACTCTGTGATATTTATAATGGTTTTGATCTTAGCGGCCAGGTAAAAAAAAAATTTTTTTTAATCCTCACCAGAAGATATTGCTCCATTTTATCTTCAGAGAGAGTAGGAGGGGGAGAGAGAGGGAGAGAAACATCGATGTGAGAGAGACACATGGACTGGTTGCCTCTGGCACGACCCTGACTGGGGCCAGGGACAAACCATAACTGAGGTACATGCCCCTGACCCAGAATCGAACCCAAGACTCTTTGGTCCACAGGCAGACACTCCAAACTAGCCAGGGCCAGCCAGGTAAATTTTTTAAAATACCTTTTTTAGGAAGAAATTTAATTTTTATTTCACACATTTTTCATTAGTCATTTCCTTAAATATATCTTTTAGAGTGTAATGAATGAGGTTCTGTACCCTGAGCTATCTGGACATTGCAGAGCAACCTGGCATGTTGACTAAATGGGATGGATGATCTGTCATGCAGAATGAAACTCCTCAATTTCTTTTAAATATGAATTATTGTTACATTATAACAACATATTTTCAAAAAGAAGAAAAGATACTATATACATCGAACAAATAAGAATATATCACTACCAAGGAGAGTAAAAGAAAGGTGAGCAAATGAGAACATTTTTTATTTGATTAATTAATCAGAGCTTAAGCTCAATTCCCTTAGCACATAATTTACTTCTGGGCTATTAAGAATTTTGGTGAGAATTATAAACTTTTTTTGGCCCCTAGAGCACAATTTGGACAGTGTTTTCTAAACTTTACTTCCATAGTAGATAATGCATTTTCCAAGGTGATTGAGCATGTAAATACAAATATACATCTCTATATTATATATAAATAATTTACAAAATAATCCATGTTACTACATGCTGTATACTCTCAGATTTTCTATTTTATTTTATCTTTTTTTATTCCTATCTCCCCATCTCCTTCCCTTGGCAATTAACAGCTTGTTCTCTATATCTATGAGTTTGTTTCTGTTTATTAATTTATTAGCTTTTTTTAGACTCCACATATAAGTGAGATAATATGGTAATTATCTTTCTGTCTGATTTATTTCACTTAGCAAAATACCTCTAGGTCCATCCATGTTTTTGAAAATGGCAGGATTTCATTTTTTTTTATTATTACTGCATAATATTCCATTAAACCACCTTCTTTATCCATTCGAACAATGGACAGCTAGGTTGCTTCCATATCTTGTCTATTATTAGTAATGGTACAATGAACATAGTGGTATATATATCTTTTGGAGGTAGTGTTTTTGTTTTCTTCAGATAAATACCCAGAAGTGGAATTGCTGGGTCATATGGCAACTCTAATTTTAATTTTTTGAGGACTCTCCATACAGTTTTCCATAGTGGCTGCACTAATTAACATTCCCACCAACAGAGTACAAGGGTTCCCTTTTCTCCACATTCTTACCAGCACTTGTTATTTGTTGATCTATTGATGATAGCCATTCTGATAAGTGGGAAGTGATAACTCATTGTGGTTTCTATTTACATTTTCCTGAATATTAGTGATGCCAAGCATTTTTTTGTGTGTCTGTTGGTCCTCTCTATGTCTTCTTGAGAGAAATGTCTATTCAGGAGTTGTGCCTATTTTTTTAATTGGACTGCTTGCTCTGTGTGTGTGTGTGTGTGTGTGTGTGTGTGTGTGTGTGTGATATGAATTATTTATACATTTTGGATATTAGCCCTATATCACTGTATCACTTGTGAATATTTTCTCCCATTCAGTAGGTTATCTTGTTTTCTTTTTTTTAATCCTCACCTGAGGACATGCATGGAGAGAGAGAGGCATGGATGTGAGAGAGAGACATCGATTGCTTGTCCTTTGTATGAGCCCCAAACGGGGATCAAACCCACAACCTGGGTATGTGCCCTGATCAGGAATCTAACCGGCAACCTTTCAGTGCACAGGACGATGCTCAGCCAACTAAGCCACTCCAGCTGGGCAGTTATTTTCTTGATGGTTTCCTTCTCTGTGCAAATTTTTTTTAGTTTGATCTAGTCCTGTTTGTTTATTTTTTTCTTTTGTTTCTGTTGCTTGAAGAGATATATCCAAAAAGATGTTAGTAAAAGGGATGTCAAAGCACTTATTTCCTATGTTTTCTTCTAGAAGTTTTATTGTTTCAGGTCTAACATTTAAGTCTTTAACCCATTTTAAGTTTATTTTTTAAATGGTGTACGGGAGTGGTCCAATTTCATTTTTTTTGCATGTATTTGTCCAGTTTTGCTTACACCACTTATTAAAGAGACTGTCTTTATCTCATTGTATATTTTTGCCTTCTTTTTCCTACATTGATTGACCATATAAGTGAGGATTTATTTCTGGGGTCTCTATCCTATTCCATTGATCTATCATACTCTTTTGATTATTGTACCTTTGTAATATAGTGTAATATCAGGAGGCATAATACCTATTACTTTGTTCTTTCTCAGGATTTGTTTGGCTATTCAGAGTCTTTTGTGATTCCATATAAATGTTAGGATTAGTTATTCTAATTTTAAGAAGATTATCATTAGTATTTTCATAGAGATTGCATTGAATCTGTATATTACTTTAGGTAGTAATGACATTTTAACTATTAATATTTCTAATACATGAGCAATGTATACCCTTCCATTTATTTGTATATTATTCAATATCCTTCTTCAATGTCTTATGACTTTCAGAGTACAGGTCTTTCACCTCTTTGGTTAAGTTTATTCTTATTTTATACTTTTTTGATGTAATGTAAATGAATGTAAATGGAATTATTTTTAAAAATTTTTCTTCTAATCATTTGTTACTGGTGTATAAAAACACAACAGATATCTATATATTGATTCTGTATCCTGCAACTTTACTGAAGTCATTTATTAGTTGTATAATAACTCTACTTTTTTGGTAGAGTCTTTAGGGTTTTCTACATATAGTACCATGTCATCTGCAAATAATGAGAATTTTATTTCTTTCTTTCCAGTGTGTATGCCTTTTATTTCTTTGTCTTGTATGATTGATGTGGCTCGGATTTCCAATAGTATATTCAATAGAAGTAGTGAAAGTGGGCATGCTTGTCTTCTACTTGATATGTTATTTCATTTTTTAAAAATTTACATTGATTTCATAACATCCTAATGGGTTATAAACAGCAGTTTGAAAAATTGATCATTATTCTTTGAAGGTAATGATTCCTCAATCACTGTTCACTCACTAAACAGTTTGTACTTTTTGCAAGGCAGTATTTTAAGTATTTTAAGTGTTGCAGTACAGAGTTGAGCATAAACCCTGCCCTTATAATAAATTATGTGTGCTTATTTAACCTTAAAGTGTAGTTTATATACACATACACACACACCTGTGCATTTTTAAATTAATTTTTTGTGCTTTTTTGGCTCCTGCTTTGGTACTGATTATTACTAGATATAGTTGTAGAAATTTTCTGTAACTTGACCTTTATACTTACTTATCTGTTCATAATCATAAGTCATAATCTGTGACATTATAGCTGTTTCTATGGAAACAACATTCAGTGCCTCACAAAGAAACATGAACCAACCAATTTTTAAAGAAACTGAAGTTTGGTGGTGGTGCTAGGGAGAAAGCATCTGAGCAATTTGAATAAATAAAAGCCTTCAAGTGCTAACAAAATACTAATAAATTCAACTACCTGTATGACTCTCAGAAATATAATGCTAAGTGAAAAAAAGGATACATTTGATTATTTCAATTATATGAAATTCCAGAAAAGGGAAAATTATACACATGGAAAGTAGAAGCATGGTTACATGCAACTGACCGAGAGAGCAGAGATTTACTGTAAATGGTCACCAGAGAACTTTTTGGTGTGACTTAAGTGTTCTAGTACTAGATTATAGTGGTAGTTGCACAACTGTAAATCTGAAACTCATTTGACCTGTACACTAAATGTGTGTAAATTTTATAATATCTAAAGTTACTTCGATATAGCTGTCATAAACAAAAAATATATAATAATGTGTATTGTTCTTTTCCTGCTTAGTTAATTATCTGCAAAGAACTTACTGAAAAGCTGGTAGAATTTCCACTGCTGGCCACTTGGTACCGGAGGATTCAGGAAGTGCCACGAGTGAGAACAGCAGCTTCTCAGTGTGGGATCCACTTTTTCCATTTACCAGAATTGGTGGCCACCTCAAATGAACAGCATCCAAGCTTCAGTGAGGCCCCAGGTGTCGAGGAACAAAATGATCCTTCATTTATAGGAGGACCAAGACCCACTATGACCAAGTTAATGGTACTTAAATTGTTTTCATTAAAATTTTCTTTGAAAAATTCCATGTGATAATGTTACCCTAACTTGTATTCATGTGTCTACGTTATTTGTTAAAAATTTGATTTGTAGCTATCTTATATCACTTTTGACTGATTAATATTTTGACTAGCCTTTTGCATTTAAGTGAGATATAGTAAGTTGAAGATTTTTAATATTATGTGTCTTTGGAGCCAAATAAGTCACAATATGTATTTATAAGCAGTATTTTTTTTTTAATATGTTTTTATTGCCTTGGATGGTTTTGCTCAGCGGTTAGAGCATCGGCCCATGGACCAGAGAAAGACTCGGGTTTGTTCCCGCTAAGGACATGTACCTTGTTTGCAGTTTGTCCCCGCCGCAGTTGGGGTTGTGCAGTGGCAACCAGTCAATGCTTCTCTCTCTTTCTACCTCCCTCTCTCCCTCCCGTTCTATCTAAAGGTAAATGTAAAAATGTCTTTGAGTGAGGATAAAAAAAAAAAAAGTTTTTATTGATTATTAGGAAAGAGAGAGATAGAAACATTGATGTGAGAGAGAAACAGTGGGCTGCCTCCTGCACGCCCCCTACTGGGGATCAAGCCCACAGTCCAGGCATGTGCCCAGTCAGTGAGACAGTGCTCAATCCACTGGGCCACACCCGTGGGTCTGTAAACAGTATTTTTCTCAAAACTTCTTTTTAAAATTTAAGACACCAAGGTCATATCTTACCTGATCAAATTTATTATGTAATCTGATTTTTTTGTTGTTGCAAGGATTTGGTTTCAAGTTGTTGTTGTTTTTTTAAATTTTGAGATGATTTAAACTAAAGAAATATGAAGATGAATATCTCAATTTACTAAGATTTTTTTCTGAATTTAAGATTTTTTAACTCTTTCAATTTTGTTTTTACATTAATATTTGATTACAATGCTATTTTATATAATAATACATTTATAGTTTTCTCTCTTTGCAGCATAATTTGTTTCTAATAGTTCTAATTGTAATAGTTTTCACTAATAGGCTTTCTTTTCACTGCCATTAAAGACAATCTACAAAAATGTTTTGCTTTTAACTGAGACTATTTGAAGATTTATTTGGATAGAGAATTCATGAAGTAATTTGAGCTATTCATCCGCATTGTACTGGAAAAACTATTCATTATATTTTTCTACTTGAGTTAGGAATCATTTGAGTTTATAGTTAGCAGGATGTTTGCGGATTTAAAAAAGCATGAGAAGATTTTAGTAATCGCACTAGTCCCTATTTCTTCAGCTAAGCTTTGTTAGCCTAGTGATGAAACAATGAAATAAGATTATAGAGTTGATTTTAAAAGTTATTAAGGCATGTCCAAAGTTTGATGTGCCTTGATCAGATGGTTATACTGTTCACCTCCTGAAAGCTCTTAAATAAATAATCATTAGGCGAATAATCTGCTTTGTATTAAAATACTAAATTAAAAAAAAAATTTTAATTTAACAAACCAAAAATTTGTGCTCTTAATTTATACTTGTCCAGAGTCTTAAAAGATTAGTAATTCAGATTTTTCTATCTGTGCTTTTCCAATAATAAAATGACATTAGGAAAGACATTTGCATTTTATACATAAAAATATTTTAAACAAAGGGAGAAAAATAACTAAAATTTAAGTTCAGAAAAAGTTAATAAACATTTATAAAAATAAGCCCTTTTGTCATGACATAACAATACAAAGGAATATTGCATTTTTAATTTACAAGGCTTTGTTAGTTCACATCCTCCAAGAAGGGTTGGACTCCATGATAGGGTTAGATATGCAGGAGGCCTACTGAGGAAAACATCTGTGAGAGAAGGAGCCCGAGGAGGCTGGCAGAACCTTCAATCATGATGCAGGTTTGACCCTTGTGCATGAGACAGGAAAGGAAGGAAGGACTGGTCTGAAAATTCCTACACTTAAGTGCAGTTCTAAGAAAGTCTGGCAAGCCAATGGGGATTCCGTGAGCCTGAACCAGCCGTCAGAGAGTTTCATATTTCTCAGGAATGGGTCTGCCTTAAGATCTCTGCTGCTCTCAGCTGTTGACTTGGGAGCAGTCCATGAGAAGACTGTACTAGTGATCAGGTGACTTGGATTCTAGTCTCAGCTTTGTAACTAAGCTGACATTGTGACTCTGTGTAAGTCATTTAACTAAAAAATATCATTTTCTGCATTTATAAATTAGGAGAGTACAGTAGACATTCTGTATGATTTTTTATTTTAAATCTTATGGTTATATAAAAGTTGAATGGAACATTAAATTTATAATTTTTATTTATTTACTTATTTTATTTTTTATCCTCACCCAAGGACATTTTTCCATTTTTTGTACAGAGAGAGTGGGAGAGAGAGAGAGAGAGAGAGAAACATCGACGTGAAAGAGACGCATCAAATGGCTGCCACCCGCACGACCAACCAGGGCCGGGGACAAACTGCAACCCAGGTACATGCCCTTAGCGGGAACTGAAGCCGGGTCTCTCCGGACCGCAGGCCGACGCTCTAACCGCTGAACTAAACCGGCCAGGGAAAATTTATAATTTTTAAAAAGGAATGATTAGTCTGGCCAGTGTGGCTCAGTAGTTGAGTGTCGACCCGTGCACCAAGAGGTCGCTGGTTCAATTCCTGGTCAGGACACATGCCCAGGTTGTGGGCCCGATCCCCATTGCGAGGCATGCAGGAGGCGGCCAATTAATGTTCTCTCTCATCGATGTTTCTATCTCTCTCTCCTCTCAGTTCCTCTCTCTCTGAAATCAATAAAGAAAAAAAAATTTTTTTTAATAATTAAAGAAAAAGAAATGCTCATCTGAAAATAAGTTAAACTTTTTATTTTCATTTAATTCAAACTTGATGTAGATACAATCTTTTTTCTTTTTTTTCAATAGGGCATTGTTTTTCTTATTACCAGTGGATTTCTCTGTTGACATATTTTTGGAAGGCAGTAAATACTATATCAAATTAATATATTATGAGAATATATTGATTTTAATTATACAGTAACTTCATTTCTGCATAGTCATGGTATTTTGTACCAATTATACGAGGACATATAAAACAGATGCTAATAATGGAAGTATAATATAATAAAGCATTTCTTAGGAATACTCACATCTCACCTTTTTTTTCCCCTTCTGTATTTTTTGGCACAGTCTTATCTCCACAATTTTCCAGAAGTTTTAAATTTATTTATTTAATTTAAAAAATATACACTGGTCTGAATATTGGATATATGAAAAACCAACTGGACTGTTTTCATGGTACTTACATTCTGGTGGGGGAAGTAAATAAAAATAAATATTAGGTAAAGATAAGTGCTGTAAAAACAATAATAATGTGGGATAGAGAGTAGAGGTGATTGGGGTAGTAGTTCATTTAGGTAGGATGGTCAAGGCATATCTGATTAGGTGAAGACATTGAGCAAATAATCTGAATGAATTGAAGATTTGGAGAAAGTTCTAAGCAATGGATTCCACAAGTAAAAAGACCCTGAGAAAATCTGTAGAGGCAAAGTGAATCAGTCGTTGCCTAGGTCAGGGAGATGGGGGGGGCAGGGAGATGGAGAGTGTCTGGTAATTGGTATGGGGCTTCTTTTTGAGGTAATGAAAATGTTCTCAAAATAGATGATGATGATGGTTGCCCAACTGTGAGTAGTCTAAAAACCACTGAATTGTGTGCTTTAAAAGGGTAAATTTTAGGGCATAAATTATATGTCAATATAATTGCATTCTTTAAAACACTAGAATAGGAATGAGTTTGGTGAAATGAAGAATAGCCAGAAGTTCAATATGGCTAGACTAGATAAGGAAGATGAGAGAGAGAAAAATGATGTCAGAGATAAATGTCTTTATCTTTCTGGAAACAAGGGAGTGCTCTAGACCTATATAGCTATACCTTCATCCCAACAAAAAGAATCTTTATACTATTTCCTTTAGGATGGCAATTTTGCTAATTTTAATCATGGAAAGCATCCTCATGAACTAACTGATATAAACAGGTTAATAATAGATTCTCAAGGATTTTTCTTTTGAATAGAATATTACTGGAGATAAATATACATATGAACCATGGATATTTATTCTATGGGCTGTAGACCCAGAATTTGATTGGGAAGAGTCTGGGAATCCATGTGTATGCCATGCCACTGTCTGTTGATCAATAAATAAACATACAACTTTTAACATGGGAAAGAAGCCTGAGAATTTTTTTGATATATTGAAAAGTGGTGCTCATTCTTGAAAATGTTGGGAACTGCTTGGATAAACCAGAGGAATCCTTTCCTAGAGACATTGCTGGTGCTTGTGAAAGACTGGTATGGAGGGTATTCTTTGGGCTATGTTGAAGGGGGCTTTTTAGTCCTGTAAATATAGCTCCTAGGTTGTGGCATTTTTCATATATTGATGGACATATTGATGGACATATGCGAGTCAGTTTTTGATCATCTCTGTGTGGATTGTTTGTTTATTTATTTTTAAATATGGTTTTTATTGATATATATATTTATTTATTCATTTTTGCATTTTATTTATTTTTTATTTTATTTTTGTTACAGATGTTTCTCATTTTTTATCCCATCGACACCCTCCTCCCCATCCCCCTCTGCCCCGTCCCCGGCTTTGTTGTCCATGTCCATTGGTTATGCATACATGCATATAAGTTCTGTGGTTTAACTCTTCCCACCCCTCACCACCCCCTCTTCTGAGGGTTGTCAGTCTGTACCCTACTTCCATGTTTCTGGGTCTACACTATTCCTTAGACTGTGATGTTCATGTATGGATTGTTTTAGATAAAATTTTAACCTCAGATAACTTTTCTCTTTGACACTTGGTATATTTCTGGGTAGTTCCTTACTTCTATATGTATTTTCATGTAATAATTTTTAAATATTACTTTTTATTATATCTGTATAAAAAATAATAGGAAAGTAACTACTGTCAAAAAAACCTCAATGTGTTATATTTCTTATGTAACCAAATATATTGAGGAAAACTTGATGATTGTTGATATTTATGTTCTTCCTTGCTAGTACAGAAAATAGAAATTTGGCCTTATAGTACTTATTAGGATTTGTATTAATTCATTAATTTGGAAAGGGCCTATTTCCTTTTCTAGGAAAAAGGCATTGAAGTGATGTTTTCTCCTCACCCTTGCCCTACTTGGACCCTTGACTGGGATAGTCTTCCTGCGGCAGTGAGCCCTAAGGAAGGTGAGTGTTGTTTCTCCTCTTTAAATTTTACTCATAATCTGGAAAACCACTTCAGATCCATCTTCAAATTCTCTAATTTTCTTTTTGGCTATATCTAAAATTAATTATTTTATCCATTCAGTTTTCATTTTATTTTTATTATAACATTTTCACGTGCATACATGACTCAGATTTAATATTTCCTACATTTTTCTAACATTTGCCTAATTTTTTCCCCTGAAGTATTTTGAAGCAAATCCCAGAGAACATTTCATATTATAGTACACACAGCTAAAATATATTGACATCTTAAATAATGACCATGTCATTATGACACATAATAAAAATGTCTTGATCATCTAATAGTTAGTCCATAATTATTTCCCCTAATTATTTAAAATATTATTTGAAAAGTATATATTTAGGTTTTTAGTTAAATATATTTTTCATTGCTAGAAATTATATTTGGTTTGATTTTTAGAATGTTTTCCTTACTTATGTTTTAATTTCCTCTTTTCATAGTTTTTAAACGTAGCTGTTTTTTTAGTATGTTTTTGTTATTTCTTATAGCTGATGTCAATAGAGATCTAATTCTGCTATTTGTTATTTCTGTTGATTTACTCCTGGTTTCTTATGTTCCTGTTAGTTTTATAATTTTAGATTGTGAATTCATCTTTAGGTACTTAAATCTGTCTGAATCTTGTGGTGCTTTGTGGTATTAAGAGTAAATTCTCATAGAAAGGATCTATATTTGCTCTGCTGGACATCTCAAGGTATTAGAATTTAAGACCATCTAGAATTAATTTTTCAGCTTGAGATTCCGTCAAACTTTTCTGTCAGGAGATGAGGTTTAAACAAACAAGTTACCTATTATTTTCCTTTGCTGTTGAGCAGACTTTTTTTTTTAATGTATCTTTTCACAGGGAAGGTAGATTTTCAAGGTTTCTGCTTTCATGAATTGATATTAGTTCTTTACCATGCTGGGTAGGGATCCAAGAGCAGCCTCTCTTCCTTGTCTTACTGTGAAAGCCTAGATTCCTATTTTTAGCAACTACCCTCCAGGCAGCTATGGTATCAGTTCAAGATTATTGCACTGCTTTTCAGTTCCTTAACCCCTTTTAAAGGCCTTATGGATTTTTCCTACTCCCAGAAATTCAGTTAGACATGTAGAGGATGACTGCTGAATTTTAAATGTCACTTTAGGTATTTTTATGTGGGGAAGTTTTTAATAGCTCAATGTTCTATTTCTTTAATTGTTCATGGGTTCTTTAGTTTTATACTAAGCCAAATATAACTTGATTTTCAAATGTTTTTTTTAAGTCACGTGCCTTTCTTTTTCATATTTTCTTCTGTGATGCTTCCCAATATTGCCTGTATCTCACTTATCAATTGTGTTCTGTCAAAAAAGGAAATATTTTAGGATTCTTCTAGAATGGAAAAAAATTGTGTTGGGCAGTTAAAAACTGCATCAGAGACATTATGTAAAAATAAAATTCACACCCTGGCCAGTTTGGCTCAGCAGTTAGAATGTTGGCCCTAAGAACAAAGAGTCACGGGTTCAATTCTGGTCAAGGGCATGTACCTCGGTTATGGTTCGTCCCCAGCCCTGGTTGGGGTCATGCAGGAGGCGACCAATCAATGTATCTTTCTCACATCAATATTTCTTTCTCTCTCTTCCTCCCTCCCACTTTATCTGAAGGTAAATTTAAAAAATGTCCTAAGGTGAGGATTAAAAAATAAATAAAATAAAGTTCACTTTTTGGTCTTTTAAAAAATATATTAAAAATAGTAATGAATGACATTAATATTTTAATTATAATTTTTTTTGAGATTTTGAAAAATTTAAATGTTTGAAAACATTTTGAAAAGTTTAAGTGTTTTTATTCTACTTGTAATTGAGTTTTGCATACTCTTTGATTACATTATAGATTTTGAATAGATTAAACCTATAGTTTACTAAATAAAAATCAGATTTTTATTAATATCTATCAAGAAATGAAATCAATGTTTTTTGTTTGTTTGTTTTTTGCATTTATCTTCAGATAGAGTGGGAGGGAGAGAGTGAGGAAGAGAGAGAGAAACATCAATGTGAGAAAGACACATCGACTGGCTGCCACCCACACAACCCCAACCAGGGCCGGGGACGAACTGCAGCCAAGGTACATGCCCTTAGCGGGAACCAAACCAGGGACTCTCTGGTCTGTGGGCCTGACACTCTAACCACTGAGCCAAACTGGCCAGGGCAAGAAATGAAATCAATGTTTAAAAGTACCACATGGTTTGCTTATCCATAATTAATTTACTATGAGGCCAAAATAACATTTTTGCTTATTTATATAAGCAATCAATTACCAGCTCAGAAAACTGACATTAAGCATTCATATCTGGTTGTTTTACTGGTTAGAGTGCATACCTAATGGAGTTTATGGAATTTATCACTTATTATATTCTTACAAATGGATCGCCTTGTTTACATAAGTATTATGACAAAGATGGAGTTATCACAGAAGAGATACATGGTATACTCACATTTCATTTACTGTTTCTTAAAAAGTTTGTAGTCTTGTTAAACTAAGCCAGAGTTGTGGCATTTTGATTTCCTGTTTTCAGGTCTGGTAATTTCAATATTACATGGTTAATAAGATTTATGTGAAATAAAATTATTATACTTAGGGGTGTGGAGGTCACTGTGAAAGTCATTTGTGTTCTGGTACCTCTTTTTTTGTTTGTTTTTGAGAGTGAATTGTAATAAGTTATTCTTAACATTTGGTCATTTGGATGTTGCAAAGACTGACTCATACTGAATTCATGGAATTACATCAAGTGAAACATATAAAACTCATTCTCTTTACTAACAAAGTTTGTATTAATACTCATTATGGAGTCTAATATATTTCTTAAGCTTGTCTAATCTTCTATCCTCTGTTCTCACCCATTTCTCTGTCCACATCTTACATACCATTTCCTAAGCTTTCCATTGTTTTGCTTATACAACCTATATTTACTGTCTCCACAAGGAATCGAACTGGGACCTCTCCATCCATGGGATGATGCTCAGTCCACTGAGCCACACCAGCCGGGCTATTTTTGCTTTAGCATGGAGTACATCTAATATAAAAGCTCATGTATACTTCTGAACCATTTGGTAACAATGAAAACTTCTATTTTAAACTAATTATATTAGCAAATATGTATGGAAGTAGAAGTATATTGATAATATAAAATAAAAATAACTCTCAAGAAATATTTTTCTCTGAAATACAGATCTCAGATTCTTTTTTTTTTTTCCAGTTTACCACACTAGACAAGACTCAAAAATAACATATGTGTTTTCTTGCTTTTAAAAAATTGTTCTCTGGTAAGAAATATAAGGATGTAATCTCCGCAACATTTTTTTTTGTTGTTTATATTGAATAACTTTATAAGATCTCGTATTTTGAATATTTTGGCATTTAAAATACCAAAAGCGCACAAAGAGAATGAGATCAAAGTTGGGTGGTTTTGTTTTTTTTTTACTTTTCTGGGGGAAAAAATCCAAATATAAATGTTTTTCATTTCTCTAAGTTATACTTAGCTGTGAAATCCAAAACCTGACCATATTTGACTCAAAACTCTGAAAATTTATAACTACTCTCCCTTTTTTCAAGGGTGAGGTTCTCAACAAGCATTTTGGTACTTTACCAAAAAGTAATATAATCTTTTTATTTAAACTGCATTTTAATCTGAAGCTAAACGCCTCTAAAAGATAGTATATATAGACAGAATTTATAATAATGGTTTAAAATATAAGAAGAATACAAAGAACAAATTTGTTAATAGGCTTAATGGGACTCTTGATTTAGTGCCAAAATACACACATACATCGATGATAGATAAATAGGTAGATAGATGATAGATAGATAGATAGATAGATAGATAGATAGATAGATAGATGCATATTATTATATTATGTATATGAACGATATAGAGCAGACCATGCGTTAAATTCATTTCCTTTTCTAGTAGAAAGTTAGAGAAGTCAGTGAGGATAATAGTAAAAGGAATTGAAACTGACAGAGAGGTGGGTCAAATTTTACTGGGCAAATTCTTCTAATTACTGTAGCATTAGACATTCCTTATATAAAAATGTTGGTGTTTTATAAATTTCTAATTAATTATACTTAGAAATCAAGAGATACAGCATTGGTGGTAAGAATATTTTTATATAGGTTTTGGATGAATTTTTTTATTAAAGAAAGTAAGGTACTATATTGTGATCTTTATTGTAGAGGAAGGTTAAATAAAGAGGTAGAAAACTAGTAGAAAGGTATTTTTATTAAATTTACTGGGATGACGTTAGTCAATAACATTATATAAGTTTCAAGTGTACAATTCTATAGTACATCATCTGTACCTTGAATTGTGTGCTTACCACCTAAAGTCTAGTCTCTCTCCAACACTGTAAATTTGACCCCCTTTATCTTCTTCATTTTCTCTCCAACTACCCTTCCCGTCTGGTAACCATCCTCTGTTATCTGGGTCTGTGAGTTTATTTGTCTTGTTTATTCCTTTGTTGCTTTCTGTTTTATGTCCCACATATGAGTGAAATCACATGGTTCTTGTCTTTTTCTGTCTGACTTATTTCACTTAGCCTCATACTCTCATACTTTCAAGATCCATCCATGTGGCCTGGGGCAGGTGGCTCAGTTGGTTAGAGCGCCCTCTCGATATGCCAAGGTTGTGAGTTCAATCTCCAGTCAGGGCACATACAAGAAGCAATCAATGAATGTATAAAAAAGTAAAACAACAAAATCAATGTTTCTCTCTCTCTCATCAATGTTTTAAAAAATCCATCCATGTTGTCACAAATGGCAATATCTCATCCTTTTTTATAACTGAGTAGTGTGCCATTGTATATAGGTACCACTTCTTTTTATTTTTATGGTTGGGGGTCACCACAACATGAGGAACTGTATTTTTTTTAATCCTCACCCCAGGACATATTTGCATTTATCTTCAGACAGAGCGGGAGGGAGGGAGTG